TCAACAGATCGTGGAAGGCAAGCGTATCAATTTCGGTTTCGCAGATCGTTCTTTGCCTCACTTCACGAAGGATGACTACTCTGCTGAATCCAAAGGATTCGTTGAAAACTCTTATTTAAGAGGTCTTACGCCTCAAGAATTCTTTTTCCACGCTATGGCAGGAAGAGAGGGTTTGATTGATACGGCTGTGAAAACTGCCGAAACAGGATACATCCAACGTCGTTTGCTCAAAGCACTGGAAGATATTATGGTTCACTATGATGGAACTACAAGGAATTCTTTGGGAGATGTTATTCAGTTCATTTACGGTGAAGATGGCCTCGACGGTACTCAGGTGGAGAAGCAGACGGTGGACACCATACCTGGCTCCACTGAAGCTTTCGAGAAGAGATACCGCGTTGATCTGATGAGTCCTGAGACCTCGATTCGTCCTGACCTAATCGAATATGGCGCAGAGATCATAGGTGATATTGAACTCCAGAAATATCTTGATGAAGAATATGAACAACTCTTGGCCGACAGGGAATATTTGAGAACGAAATGTTTCACCACAGGTGAAAATAATTGGCCTCTTCCAGTGAATATTCGCAGAGTCATTCAAAATGCTCAGCAAATTTTCCATGTCGATCAGACAAAAGCAAGCGATTTGCCGATCAAAGACATTGTGGTTGGTGTGCAAGAGCTCTCAAAGAAATTCAAAGTCATTCGTGGAGAGGGCGAGATTCTGGCAGAGGCTCAGGAAAATGCCACCTTGCTGTTCCAGTGCCTTGTCCGTTCTAGATTGGCCACCAGAAGAGTTCTTGAAGAATTCAGACTGAATAAAGATGCATTTGAGTGGGTTTTGGGAACCATAGAGCAGCAGTTTTTGAAATCCCTTGTGAATCCAGGTGAGATGGTGGGTGTCATTGCTGCTCAATCCATTGGTGAACCTGCTACTCAAATGACTTTGAACACCTTCCATTATGCTGGTGTCTCGTCGAAGAATGTCACTTTGGGTGTCCCAAGATTGAAGGAAATTCTCAATGTCGCCAAGAACGTCAAGACTCCTGCGTTGACGGTTTACTTGAAGGAAGAATACGCCTCGGACATTGAAAAGGCCAAATCTATCCAATCCGCTATTGAGCACACCACTTTGAAAAATGTTACTGCATCCACTGAGATCTACTATGATCCAGATCCACGTAGTACTGTTGTTGAGGACGATATTGACACTGTGGAAGCCTACTTCGCCATCCCTGATGAAAAGGTGGAGGAAACCATTCACAAACAGTCTCCATGGCTTTTGAGATTGGAGCTTGACAGAGCCAAGATGTTGGATAAACAATTGACCATGAGCCAAGTTGCAGGCCAAATCATGGAGAACTTTGGTGATGATTTGTTTGTCATCTGGTCAGAAGATAACGCTGAGAAGCTTGTGATCAGATGTAGAATTGTCCGTGAAGAAAAGGCTTTGGATGAAGAAGAAGAAGAGACTGAGGATGGGCTTCTAAAAGCACTCGAAGCTCAAATGCTTGAATCGATCTCTTTAAGAGGTATCAGTGGCATTTCCAGAGTCTTCATGATGAAGTACGACAAAACATATATTGATGAAACTGGAGATTTCGCCAAGAAGGAAGAGTGGGTTTTGGAAACCGATGGTGTCAATCTTGCTGATGTCTTGGCAGTTGAAGGAGTCGACACCACAAGAACTTACTCGAACTCCTTCGTAGAGATCCTGTTTGTTTTGGGTATCGAGGCTGCGAGAAGTGCATTGTACAAGGAGATCTTGAACGTTATTGCGTTCGATGGTTCCTACGTCAACTACAGACATTTGGCATTATTAGTCGATTTGATGACATACAGAGGTCACTTGGTCGCCATTTCGAGACATGGTTTCAACAGAAATGATACAGGAGCTCTCATGAGGTGTTCTTTTGAAGAAACTGTTGAAATTTTGTTTGATGCAGGTGCCTCTGCTGAACTTGATACTTGTGAAGGTGTTTCCCAGAATGTTATTCTTGGTCAGCTTGCACCATTTGGAACTGGCTCCTTTGAAGTGTATTTGGACGAAGAGAAATTGTCTATGCTACCTTCTGATGCCACAGTTCATGCATCCAATGTTCTTCAGACCAAGGCCGTTGATGGTGGTGCTACACCATACGAGGAGGACAATTTGAAGGATGACTTCATCGATGCTGAGATGGAAGATGATAAGGTTGCCTTCTCTCCGATGATCACTTCTGGTGTGAATGACGACCGTAGCGGAGGATTTACAGAATATGGTGGTATGAGCTCATATGCTCCTACTTCACCTTTTTCTGGATTTGCCCCAACTTCTCCAAGCTATGGCGCCACGTCTCCTTCCTACGCTCCAACCTCCCCATCCTACTCTCCAACCTCACCTTCTTACTCCCCAACTTCCCCATCCTACTCCCCAACTTCCCCATCTTATTCCCCAACTTCCCCATCCTACTCGCCAACATCTCCATCCTATTCTCCAACTTCCCCATCCTATTCTCCGACGTCCCCATCCTACTCTCCAACTTCACCTTCCTATTCACCAACTTCACCTTCCTATTCACCAACTTCACCTTCCTACTCTCCAACATCACCTTCTTACTCTCCAACATCCCCACAATACTCTCCAACATCCCCTCAGTACTCTCCAACTTCACCTCAATACTCTCCAACATCCCCACAATACTCTCCAACTTCACCTTCCTACTCTCCAACATCCCCTCAATACTCTCCAACATCTCCACAGTACTCTCCAACTTCACCTTCCTACTCTCCAACATCCCCTCAATACTCTCCAACATCGCCACAGTACTCACCTACTTCTCCCCAATATTCACCTACTTCTCCCCAATATTCACCTACTTCTCCTCAATATTCTCCTACTTCACCACAGTACTCTCCAACTTCTCCAAGTTACTCACCAAACAACAACCGAAACTAAGGATTTCATTTTATGCCTTTGCGTTGTGTATTTGTAAAAAAGATAATAAAGTCGAACGGTTATACGTATATATATGTAAGTTCGTCTATAGAAGATCGTAGAGTAAAACTCAAACTTTTTTGCTGATTAGGCCTCTGAACATGTCAAAAGCATTTCCGTCCGGTTGCAATTCGAAAGTGTTGCCGGTGAAGTTTCCGTATCTGTCCACTTCCTTAGCCATCAGAAGCCCAAACTCTTTACTGATTCCGGTGATGACTGCTTTGGGGCTTCCTGGGAGGTCCAAAGTGACTTTCTGGCCCGAGTGTAGCCACTGTTTGTAGTATAGATCCATGAATGGTTCCATTCCATCAACTTTGAACCTTTCGAGCATTGTGTAGAGAATTGAGAGGTACTTGGCCGTTAGTTTCTCAGTAGCTATTGGCTTGAGTTTTGTACCCAGCATCTTATTCATCTCACTGATCACAGCATTCACAGATGTTGTGGGACCTTTGTTGAAAAGATTCAGCCCTGTTCCAATGGCGATGTGATAACTATTTTCGAACACAGCGGTCTCCACCAAAACTCCACCTATTTTCGTGTAAGAATCGAGATCCGTCTTATTCAAGCAGTCTGGACGCAAAAGGTAGATGTCATTTGGCCACTTCAAACGAATTGGTATTTTTTCGTAGCCCGGACCGTATGTTTTCACGGCCTGTACAATCGACATGCTGACAAGATACTGAAGAAGAACCACAGGCATGGTGAGCGGCATCTTCAGGAACAACGTCATGGCAAACACTCCCTTTGGATTGACCCAGACATTGCCTGTCCGTCCTCGACCTGCCACTTGCACAGTACCGATAATAGCAAACCCGTGAGGAAGTATGCGCATGAAGGGAGTGTTGTACATAATCAGAGAGCTACTTGATGTCAACACCTCGCCATAGACAATGGTGGATCCCAGCTCTCCCACGGAAGAGTATCCCAACTCCTTATACGCGTCCTCCAGTTGATTTAAATACTCCTGGGTATTGAAGTATGGAGTTAGTTCTGGCTTTGGGAGAGCTGCGTCGCAGATATAGAAATCTTTGATTGCCGTCTCGGGATCGGACATATCACTCTGCTTGTACTTGTCCAAAGTCTTGTGAACGCGAATCTTGTCCTTTCCCAGGTCGATCACGTTTTCGGATTCGTATCCCAGTTTGTGCTCCAAGTCGTGCACAAACTGGGCAAGCTGCTCTTTGTGCTTCGAAATCAGCACCAAAGGTGTCAATGCTGGACGAGTCGACTCCTCGTTGACTTTGAGACCCAAGCTGCGGAGACAATGGCGCATGAACTCCAACCTTGCGGCATCGTGTTCTTTCAGCACCTTTACACATTTTTCAAAGTCAGTTCCCGGTTCTGTCTCGAGGAGAGTAGGGTTGTATTCCGGGTGGGTGCCGGTCAGAAGAGCCTTTCCCTGGCCGACAGAGCACAAGATCACAGCAGCCTGGGGGCCTGGGCACTCGACCTCGACGGGTTCCTCGTATTCTGCCAGGATTTGGGTGTTTGGATGCTTATCAGCATCGATGAAAACGGCACCCCCGTTGTAGTAGTTGTAGAGAGGCTTTTGGACCGCAAAGTCGGTCTTTAGCTTTGCGGCACGAGCACCGTCTTCCGTGCCGTACTCAAAGCCTTTGAAGCTGGCACCGCGAGCAACCCCTGGGAAGAACTTGAGCTCTCTAGCTCCACTGACTTCCTTGTTGGGGTTTCCAACCTCAAACTCGCAACGAGCGGACGCATAGTAGCCACCCGAACAGAAGCCAATGTACTTCCCACCTCCTGAGACAAACTGGCGGATTTTCTGGTTCCCCGTACCGTTGAGATTGGAGCACACCGCTAGATCAGCACCTCCAGGAATAACAACCATAGCAGTTTTCGCCTGCCATGGCTGGGAAAGCAGGGTTCTGGGCTCGACAGTTGCCACTGCGTAGTAGGGAGATAGCAGGAACCTCAGCGTGTCAAGACAATGCTTAACACTGTCTGAAGCTGCCCCAGGGCCGTTATAGACAAGAACATTCATGGAAATATTTTTTGTTGAGAAATGCTCATCAGGGCTGGTATTGGAAATATTGCACTTGTTGGGAGACCTTTCAAATCGGCAACCTTGCACGGTCCTCTTGGCAGGAAGGTTATTCTCGGATTGCCGTCGAGTGCGGCTTGCAGCATATTTGTGCGAGCGAAGAGTGACAAAAAGCGCCCCACTATTCCTACACTATCCGAAATTCGTGAAAGTCTATACACCATCCCCAATGCGTTGACTTTCACCAGACTCGTTGCTGCGCCAGTTGTCGGTTATTTGGTGGTTTCTGGACAGACTGCCTGGGCTCTGGGGCTTTTTGCATATTCGTGTGTGACAGATTTCGTTGATGGCTTTATTGCCAGGCGTTACAACCTACGATCGAAGCTCGGTTCGATTATTGATCCAATGGCAGACAAGGCACTCATGGTGATATGCACAGCCTGTCTGTCCCACATTGGCACGGTGCCGTTGTATTTGGCAGCACTCATACTCGGCAGAGACATAATGCTGCTACTGGCCGGCATTGTGATTCGATACATTTCGTTGCCTGCTCCAAGAACATTCCGACGGTATTGGGACTTCTCGCTCATCACAGTCGAGGTGCGTCCTACAACAATTAGCAAGATCAACACTGCGCTCCAGATGGCATATTTGGGGGGCCTGATGCTCAGTCCGCTTATAGATCTGGGTGCGAACCGTTTGGAGTACCTCGTGGCTGCCACCACTGCGCTGAGCGGGTTGTCCTACATATTCAGCAGAAACGCAGTGCGCAGAATTGCCAGGAAATAGAGTATATACTCAACACTGAATTCCCTATATATTCACCTACTGAAGCAAATGTCATCGATACGCAGAATCGATTTCACGGTCTCTGCAGCAAGAGTGATGGCACTGGTATTGACAAGCACAGGCTGAACCACGTGCTCGTCAAACGTATTGGTGGCTCCCGACCGTCTCACGCTGATTCCGGCGTTTTTCTCGCCCAGCTCGTGTCTGTTTCTAAGGTCGGTGACAATCTCGATTGGGTTCATTCCCGCGTTCTCTGCTAGTGTAGTTGGGATCACTTCCAACGCCAGCGCAAACTCCTGGAAACACAACTGCTCAACACCAGAGAACTGGTTAGACTCCTTGAGTAACGTACGCGACACCTCGATCTCTGGAGCACCGCCCCCTGCAATCAAGGCCCTCTCCTTCACCAAACAGCGAACCACGCACAAGGCATCGTGCAAGGACCGTTCTGTCTCGTCAAGAATTTGGTTGTTGGCGCCGCGGCACACCACAGAAACAGTTGGCTGCGTGACATTCTTCACGCCAGTAATTTTAATGATCTTGGAGCCAGAAGACTCCACTTCTTCCACTAGGTCTGCGGTTCCCAAGCGAGATTCCACAAATGAGTCCACGTCTGCAATGGGCTTGCATCCAAGACTCTTGCTGATGAACTCAATTTCGTCTCTCTCGATGTCTTTCACAACCAAAATGTTGAGCTTTGCCAGGAAGTGCAAGGCAAGGTCGTTAACAGCGTCTCGAAGAATAGACTTCTGGATCAACAGCACATTGCACTTGGCTTTTTTGATTTTCTTGCAAATATTGAGTAGATACGCCCTTTCTTCTTTCAGTATTTTATCCATTTGTCTGTAATCATTAACCACAATATTGTTTTCCATGTCGGGCTTTGGAGGAGAAAGCTGGAATTGGATCAGTCCGATCTTGGCCTTCTCCATTCTCGTTGGTCCTCCAGCGCTCTTAATAACGTTCTGTGTCAGAACAACACCTTCCACTGTTTCTGTGTCATCAATAGTGCCTCCGATCTTCTTGATCAATCGGATATCATTCAAGTCCACATTCTTGGCCTCTGGACCAACAACCTTCAGCACTGCATCGACGGCCAAGGGACCCAACAAGGAAGAGTGCTGAGAAACAATTTTCGAAGACAATGACGTGTTGGCTGCCCGAATCAACGCGTCTCTGTCATCCAACGAGATTTTATGCGACATGTCAAGCAGAATCTCCACACTCCGTCCAGCTGCTTTGGTGAATGCCTCGGAAATGATCGTCGGGTGGATTCCTTTGTTCAGGAGCTTCTCTGCCGCCCCAAGCAAGGCGCCCGTGATCACAACCACCGAGGTGGTACCATCTCCCGCCTCGACGTCCTGTGCACCTGACAAGTCAACCAGCATTTTAGCTGCCGGATGCAGAACAGCCATATGTTTGAGAATCGTGTGGCCATCGTTGGAGATGATCACCTCGCCCCGTCCCGTCTTGATCATCTTGTCCATGCCCTTTGGGCCCAAAGATGTTCTAATGGCATCTGCGACTGCTCTTGCAGCCAAAATGTTCGCTTTGCGCACCTCCTGTGGCTTTTCTCTGTTCTTGAATGTCGCGTTTGACGGAAGAACCTTAGACATGTCGAAAACAAATTGAAAAAAAATCCAGGAAAAATATTAATTTTCTAGTAATTAATGCCTGAAAACTCGCACAAGCCAGCGGTCTTCCACGATATAATTGTGAGCAAAAACGACATCCTCAACTGTTCGTATGAGAGCTGGTACTCGCTTTTTGGAGCGCACGCATACTCGCGAGCTGTGGTGTTGCCTCTGCCGCAGGAGTTTGTAGAGTATCTGGAGAGTGATGATTTCACAATCCCGGGCGAAAAGTCAAATCCAAACCCGCACAAGGATTCCGATTGGGATTATACGCCTCCAAATCGGCCAGACCCAGCCTCTCGGTTTTCTTACCTTCACCAGAAGATCCAGGAAACATTCAAATCTTTCAAATACGTTGCCCCCAAACTCAACTGGTCAGCCCCTCAGGATTCTGTGTGGATCCTTCCTGAGCGAACCATGAAGTGCTCCTCACCCTCAGATATATACCTACTGCTTAAATCTTCCGATTACATCAATCACGACCTCAGCCATGCATTTGATGAAGCTGACTCTGTGCCCGACAAATTACAGTATCATTTGATTTTACGAGAGTGGAAAGACATCAATCCTTCGCTGGAATTCAGATGTTTTGTGCGAGATCGACAATTGTTGGCCATTTCCCAGCGAGACCTAAACTATTATCCTTTTTTGGAGGATCTTCACGATACCTTAATTGAAAGAATAGCCACCTTTTTTGACGACGTTCTTCTCCCAAAGTTTGGATCAAATAGCTTTGTCTTTGACGTTTATCTCCCGAGGCCATTCACCAAAGTGTATTTGGTTGACATCAATCCATTTGCGAGAAAAACGGATTCACTATTGTTTACCTGGAACGAATTGGCTACCATGTCTCCTCGTGATGACGACGTTGTTGTTCGCCTTGTGACAAAACATAACTCAGGAAGGTTTGCAACCAAGGCCCATTCACAAAACCATGTACCTAGGGACGTACTTGATGCCTCGATGGACTCCTCAAAGATGGTGGAAATGCTCCAGAACTGGTCTGCCATGCTATCGAAAGAGATTGACGAGACAGAGGAAAGCGGTGAGTAGCACCTAGTCATCCAAGAGAGCTCCACGTTTTGTGGGGGGTGGAAACTTAACTTCAGCTCCTTTCAGAGGCCCGTCAGTGTGATACAGCCTTGGTCGATAACCAGGATGTTCTCCCATGATTTTGGAGTTCCTAAACTTGTCTATCAGTTTTGCTTTGCCCTGCACTTTAGCGTACGACATCTCACACACTTTTTCTGAATTGAAATTGCTCCACTTCTTTCCGGCCCGTTCGAGGTAAAAGTTGATAATATGTCTTGGTTCCACGAAAGAAATGAATGCGTATCCAACATTGCAATGGTTTTCGAAGTCGATGCGCAGATAAAGGAAGTCATATAGATTTTTGCTCGTCAAGTCTATAAACTCTTTGAGCTCATTGTGGTTTATCTTGTTTGGAACATTCCTTATCATGATGGTTTTGCGTGGATCTTGTCCCATGCGGATTTTTGTGATGTCTATCTGATTTTCATGTGGGACGTAACTAGTCCCAAACGAGCCTGAGAGCGGCCGCCGTGATTTCAAATGCTGACACGTTCTCCACTCCTCATTGTTTTGTTCTGTGGGCTCAGTGTCTGCATGTTTGATGTCTCCTGCCATCCAATTAATAACTTGCAGGTTCGGTTGGCTTTTTGTATCTCTAACTATGGGTTTTGCCGAAAGCTCTAGCTCTTCTAATGATGGACGCACTTGTATTGAAGTGTTTTCGATGTAAGCTGTGGGGACCGCACGGGCTTTGAAGGATGCTCTGATATCATCAAATGTACACCAGAACATGTTTCGCATATGAGGAATTGTCTCGAAGCTGGTAATGACACCGAAGTTGCCAAGATAATTGGCGAGCTGATCTTGGAACTTGTTCATGTTGATCTCCCCGTCACATAAGACATAGACGGTTGCATAGCTGTCTTCCAAATAGCGGAACTCGTAATGTGAAACTACTGCTGCCAGAGTAGTCGGGTCTGTGATGAAACAAGGTTCGAGAGCTTCTGCGGTTACGTTCCCAAATAGCAGCTGCAACTGTCTAATGTGCTCGAGCATTTTTCGAGCCTCGAACCAGCCGACGGCAAGCACCGTCTCATTCCGAATGGCAAGCGGCTTGTATGCTAATATGTCGCGAAGATATTGAAAGTCACGCAGAACCGCGCTAAGTACTGCGAGTCGGTGGCAGCGAAAAAGGACTATGCGCGAGTTTAGCACGCCCATAGGAAATGTCGGGGGAATGAAGCCCTCTTGATAAGCGCTGTTTCTGATGGATGACGAGCAGTGTTCAGGTAATGAGTTAGCAAAGATGTGCTCATTTTGGAGCACCCAGGGGTTCATAGGAAAAGGGATAGATAGATAAATAATATTTAATTTTAATAAATTCGGGCTTTTAATTTTAAGGATCTCGCTCTATATAAATTTGGAGACTGGCACTATATATCCCAATTAAAATGCATTGCTTTGACATACATAAGATTATTTTCATTGCAGTTTGACACTCTTCGAAAGGTTCTTCTTAATACCAGTAGTCTCACCAACGTATGGACCATGGTCCTTATTGTACACTGCACGCACAGACTTGAGTTTCTTTTGTGCCTTGGCATACTTCTTTCTCTTCTTGACACGGGCATTACGGTTGTCTTTGTTCCTATGGGGAGTGAGGCCACGATTTTTGAGGATCTGATAATTGAGCGCGCGCTTTCCGCTTTCTCCAATGCTCTCCTGTATCTCTGCCAGTTTTCCATCCCTTGCAGCTTTCTTCGCCAGTTCATGTGCTTCTTTTCTTTCCTGTTTAGACTGTTGCTTTTTATACTTGACCTCGTCATAATAATCCGTATCAGGCTTTTCTGATGATTGGTCCTCCAAATCTTCTTCTCCAAGAGCGAGACCAGGAGCCGAGGCATTAGCTCGATCTCCACGTTTCCGTGCCTCCTCCAGAAGACGCTGTCTTCTCTCGAATAGTCGCTCTTTATATGGAACATCTTGGTCACCCTGGTACTTGGCATCTTTCTTCTTTTCCTGCTGGTCGATCTTGGAAGTATAGAACCGCAACGTGCGTCTGCGACCTTTCTTCTCCTCTAGATCCATTTCGTCGATATCTTCTGGTCCCACTGCGCGGAGCTTACGCACTTTTCGTTCTGGGAGAACATCCGGCTCTTCGTCTCCAGACTCCGAAACTTGGCTCTCATCCTCTTCGTCGGACAAACGGTCATCGTACTGGTCTATTAATTCTTCCTCTGGATCGCTAGACTCTTGATTTTCAGCTTCTGAAACCGTCTTTGCTCTCTTTTTCTGTGCCTGTCGCCAAACCTCTCTAGCGTTCAATAGACCCGTCATGATAGGTTCCTCACGCATGCTGAACGGCTCGCCGCTTTTTAAATACGATCCGAATAGAGCGAAATATGTAGCGATCGTGCCCAGGTAAGCACTGAGGGCATTAAAACGAAGTTCTGCAACCGGGTCACTGTCCTTTTGTTTCGAGAGCTCATCTAGGACAGGCTTGAGTTCCTTCACTTCCTTTGTCAGCGGAATAAACTCAGGATATTGACTTTCCATCACTTCAGAGAAACCCGCTTCATCGAGTTTGTTCAGGTCTAGTTTCTGTTCTTTAGATTCTTCTGTCTCCTCTTCCCCTTTAGTCCATTCTCCCACAGCATCGTCCATCACGTAGTCCTCCATATTTAACTCTTGTAAATGTTTCTTTTGGATCCTCAGTGCTTCCTCTTCGAGAAGCTTTGCATCCTCTTCTTCCTCTAGTTCGTCTCCTCCATAATAGTCATTTCGACCACCCCAGCCTTCTTCCTCGTCCTCGTCCTCTTGTTCCTGTTCGGAACCAAAATAGTCCTCCTCGTCTTCATCCACATGGCCGGTAAGCTTTTTCTTGTACCGTTCAATCTCTTCTTCACTATCTTCGTCCTCATCAAGACCCAAAACTTCTTGTTCGCTCTCTTCACTCTCTGGCTCTTCGAAGTTTGCCTGCTCAAGCAGGATCTTTTCCCTGCCTGCGTGGAACTCATCCACCTCGTCTAATCCGGGATCCTGTTGCATGAGGGTGAATTTGAACTTTTTTAAATTTTTTTGAAAAATTTCCTTGATTTTTAAATTTTTTTAAAAGATCCAGGAACTTTATATATAATCGAGCATGTCCAATAATCGATTGGACTCCATCTCTAGACCCTCTGGCAGCGTTTCCGGAGGAGGCCCGTCAAAACAAAGTTTGAAATTCAAGCCTAAAGTAGTTGCCAGACGAACAAAGGAGGAGCGAGATTCCAATGTTCCGGTGGCCACCCCAGGAGTGAGCAAGAAACCAGGATCGCTGGCCAAAAACCTGCAAAGAAATCCTCGAACTCCCGGAATGCGGCATCTTCAAAACACAAAAGTTGTGATGGCAGGCCCTCTCGCCATGGGAACCGTTTCGCTAGCCAATTCGGGGCAAAGCAAGGGAACGAAAATGGTCAAGAAACCTGCTGACACTTATGATCTAGCACAAAGTATTAAAGCACAGACTGCCAAAAAGGCAAAAGGAAACACAGAATCAGATGATGAGGGCGACGATGACATGACTGCACGACTCGATCTAGGCCAGGCGTACGATTGGAAGGATGTTGATACACAATGTTTTCCTGTGAGAGCAGAAAGACATCAGCACTACGAGTACGGAGAAGAGCCTATCCCAGATAGTACAATCAAGACAGAGATTCATCGTGAGGTTTCTGCACCTCTGGACTCAGAGCCGACGTCCAGAGAACAGAGCGTGGAGATTAAGCATGAGGAAGATGCTACGGTCAAGTTCATTCCTGACGAGCAAGCAAATGCGGACGTTTCTATTACTGACTATCAAGGCAAACAGGAGGCTATAAGATTAGCGGATGACTATAGAGCGATCATCGCCAAATTGGATGAGATACAACTTGAGGAAAATGCAGATGAGATGCTATTTTTGCAACTTCCGAAACAATTGAAAGTGGAGAGCGCTTCTCACGAAGTAAAAATGGAAATCGACGACGACCTTTCACGAGACAAAGATACAACATCGGATGTGATTGGTACACTTCGCGTGCATGAATCAGGAAAAGTGACAATTAAAATGGGCGATACGGTGCTTGACGTGACCAGAGGGGCTGCGACTCACCTTGTCCAAAGCATAGTGAAACTGGACGAGGACACGAAAGAATGTTTGGAATTGGGAATTGTGAACCAGAAGATTATTGCAAGCCTCAGCTTATCGGACGAGATATAGATTCATTTTAATTTTATTCGGTTTCCAACTTGACTCTTTTTTGATCATTTCCCTCAGTAATGCTGGCAGATCGTTTAGCAGCTTGTTCCCCATTTTGTTTCATAATTTTTCTTCCGAACCTTATTGGTTCTAAGCACAATTTGATCTTGGCCGAGATTGTCTTGCTTTCCTCTTGGGACGGGTCCAGAGCTTCTTTTCGCACGACATCTGCACAATGTCGTATTATGACCATTAATTTGTTGTAGTACTGTAACGCATCCTCGTCTTCCTGTTCGTTTTTCTTCGCCAATCCAAACTTCTTCGATAGATACTTCTCCACCAAAACATCATCACATAGCCACAAGCAGGCCAAAGCTATCTGGGGCGGGGTGTACAAGAATGGCAGATCAGTAAATAAGCTCTCGTTGACCAATTCTCTAGCTCCGTCATAGTTCTTGCCAAGCCTGTTAAAGTCCAGTTTTGGAAGTGTCTGTTGTATGTCGAGAAAGAAACCATACAATGGCTGGAACGGGTGGTGGCATTGGAGAGAGAATTTCATGGTTTCCAAAATAAGATACTCGTTCTTCAGTACGGCTTCCGGGGTTGTCTTGGGGATGTTCTTGCAAAAGGTGTTGATCCCTATAAAATGGTTCTCCACCTTTGCAGATAAGAACAGACAGGTAAGCATGATGTTTCCTGGATGATATTCCATCACAGAATGATATAGGTAGAATTTGTATAGATACATGATGGCGGTCGACCTGACCTGAGCGGACAAGTGAAAAAATGCAGCAAGCTCTTTACATCGACGTGCGTAGTAACTAATGAGTTTCTTTTCTTCATCAGGATGGACAAACTGGAACTGGTCCTGATTCTCCCTAACTAACTTTGTTTCCGGTAGAGAATCGTCCAATTCTTTGATCCTCTCTTCGGTCTTTTGTATTCCCTTTTTGTTGGCAACAATACGCAACTCTGCTAGTTGCGGGCGAGTAAAGGACCAAAACCTATATTGTGTAGAACGTCTGAAAAGATCATCGTGATTAACAACCATGTTCAAATTTAATTACAATTTTTTCTATCGAGACTACAATTTTTCGGAATATCTTTTCTCTTCTTTCTATTGATGTGGGTTATGTCAAAAGAAGATCCAAACATCATACATTCTTAGAGACAGAGGAAAATTTGGAGCTCCGCTCTTCTAAAATGAGAGTCTCTAGTCGCTTAGAAGGTGGCGACGAAAGTCTCGGTGGCAGACTTAAGCTTGTCCAAGAGCTCGGAAGAAAGCTCACCCTTAGTTCTGATAGCCTCCAAGATGTCTCCCTCGTTAGCCTTCAAGTAAGCAATGAATTGCTCCTCGAATTCTGGGATTCTCTCGATTGGGATGTTGTCCAAGAAACCGTTGACACCAGCGTAAATGACTGGCACTTGCTCCTCAGAAGCTTGTGGAGAGTACTGCTTCTGCTTCAACAGTTGAGTCAATCTCTCACCTCTAGACAAGGTTTGCTTAGTAGAGGCATCAAGATCAGAACCGAATTGAGCAAAGGCAGCAACTTCTCTGTATTGAGCCAAGAACAACTTCAGAGAACCAGCAACCTGCTTCATGGCCTTAACTTGAGCAGCGGAACCAACTCTGGACACAGACAAACCGACGTTAATAGCTGGTCTGATACCCTTGTAGAACAATTCTGCCTCCAAGAAGATCTGACCATCGGTAATAGAAATGACGTTGGTAGGAATGTAAGCGGAGACATCACCACCCTGGGTCTCGATGACTGGCAAAGCGGTCAAAGAACCACCTCCGTTAGCATCAGACATCTTAGCAGCTCTCTCCAACAATCTGGAGTGCAAGTAGAACACATCACCTGGGTAGGCCTCTCTTCCAGGAGGTCTTCTCAGCAACAAGGACAATTGACGATAAGCAACGGCTTGCTTAGACAAGTCGTCGTAGACAATCAAGGCGTGCTTTCCGTTGTCTCTGAACCACTCGGCGATGGCACAGGCAGTGAAAGGAGCCAAGTATTGCAATGGAGCAGCCTCAGAAGCAGTAGCGGCAACCACAATAGAGTACTTCATAGCGTCGTTTTGCTCCAAGGTTTGGACCAATTGAGCAACAGTGGATCTCTTTTGACCAACGGCAACGTAAACACAGTACAATTTTTTGGACTCGTCATTGCCATCATTCCATCTCTTTTGGTTCAAGATGGTGTCAAGAGCGACAGCAGTCTTACCAGTTTGTCTGTCACCAATGATCAATTCTCTCTGACCTCTTCCAATTGGGACCAAGGCATCAACGGCCTTCAAACCAGTTTGCATTGGCTCGAAAACGGATCTTCTTGGCAAAATACCTGGGGCCTTCAATTGAGCGATAGCGTAACCAGTGGCCTCGATTGGTCCCTTACCGTCAATTGGGTTACCAAGAGCATCAACAACTCTTCCCAACATACCTGGTCCGATTGGAACATCGACAATCTTACCGGTTCTCTTGACAATCTCACCCTCCTTGACTTCTCTGTCGGAACCAAACAACACAATACCGACCTGGCCAGGCTCCAAGTTCAAAGCCATACCCTTGACACCGGAGGCAAACTCGACCAACTCCTCAGCTTGACAGTTGTTCAAACCGAAAACTCTGGCGATACCATCACTGATCTGGTTAGTAAAACAATTTCGGGCTGTGCGGAGAGTAGCGAAAATCCAGATTGAGAATCTTTGGAAAATTTTGGGGTTATGAGATTTCGTGGGCTATGATTGGCCAACGAAATAGTGAACACACCTTTAAATCCGGTGATCTGGCGTGCCATTGGCAAGACCAGACTCATCATCTCGTGTAGTCTGAACTAATCCGTACTCTCCACGATGTCATGTACTTACCCAACGGAAAGAACTCTTCCGGTCTCGTCCAAGTTGGCTTCGTCGGAAACACCTCTAATCTTGGACTCCAAGATGGAAGAAACCTCGGTTGGCGCAGCCTTGGCGGTGGCATACGATCTAGCGGATAACAGAGGTCTAGCCTGTATTATTTGCGACAAAGTCGCAACTGTGTTAGTACTCAAAAATGACAGGCTGTCCGCAGAATCCTGGTGAAAATTCCCATTGAAAGGCACAAACAAGCTCAGCAGCCAATGCAAAGGCACTTAGTGCGCCATTGGACACATTGGCACCGAGGAAATACCTGTCAGCCACTCAAGGGCACTTTCGATTGATTGGCGGGCAAGTAGATACTCACAATTCTTGGTGCAGCTCTAACAATGTTAGCAGCTAGAGCTGATCTAGCAGCTGCTCTGATGGCTGGTCTAGCAGAAAGCATTGTTATACGATGATTGATTCTTGGAAAAGAACAAATCTGGTTGTATAAAAAATGGAAACAAAAGTGGAAGAAAAATGAAAAAAGACACAACTACCACAGTGCACACAGCACAGGCCTGTGAGCGCGCGGTGGACTGGGGAAATTTTTTTTCTCCTGGTGGACACCACGGCACGCACATTATTGGTCGATTTAGATAGTTACCCGGACACAGTATTTCCGATAAAGCAGGACCTGTTTGGCTAGACATCCGGATAGGGGTTGCATTGGTTGCACTCGAGACTTATCAATTGGGGAGCCACATGCTGTGGGCCTCAGGCTGTCAGCTAAATTTGCGAGCTGGAGTGAGTGCTGAAGTAGCTTGGTATTGCTCTATCCATTTGTACATCAGCACTGCCCGAGGAAAAATTCAGTGGTATAGCTCGTCATATAACTAGCTATGCCAGCCACCACCGGGCTTCAGTCTCCCCGATATTTCACAGAGTATTTGCCTCGACTGTGTTCTGTCTCTGTATGTGTGGAAGTAAAGAGACCAGAAATTGATAAACTTTCAATTAAAGACAATCGATTGCTGATTTCCACCAAGACGCAAATCATCTCCATCCCGCTGGCGGGAAAAACCGCAGACTACGACGACATCTTATCATTCGCTCGAATCGAAAATGACTTTATTACACTAAAGGTTCCCGCTGTGGCTGATAAAGCTGTCAGCAGTATTGATCAGCTTACTAACACTGACGACTCGATCTGGTCGATCAGAGACTTGAAACAGCACCCCAACGGCATACTTGAGTGTGCAGCTTGCTGCCAGCCAATTGCAGACCTCTCAAAAATACGAAAGCTTCATTCTATGCCATCGGAAATGTGGTATGAGATGATGGAGTTTTGGCACTGTCACAAACCTACTAATGGTAACTATACCAACGACAAGATCGCCAACCGGTTCAACAATCTGAAACCTGCTCTGGATACGTTGATCGTGGGCGTATATTACTTCCTGGCGCCCTCTCTGCCCTCAATATTTGCAGAAGACCAATTTGTCAAGTGCGCCGGCTGCCACCAAATTCTTGGAGAGGTGGAAAATAATAACTACAAACTTCTCAAGTGGAAGCTGGCATTGAGAGACAGAGATACACGACAAGAGTGTTCATGTGTCATCTATCTATATAGCTATTTGCTTGACTCGATTGCTTCAACCGCAGTGCGTTTTTTCCTTGTGAAGAGCCGATCAAGCAGGGTTCTGCTATGGTGTTTCAATTTTGGAATTGACGTGACGTTTCCATCTTGCTATCTGAAAAATTGTCTCAAGATAATGTACATCGACCACGAGAACGAAATAACCATCTTTCTGGAGCAAAGTGATGGCGAGGGAACAAATCAACGGTCACTGCATAACCGGTACGAGGTGGTTGATCTGGAAGACGACATGATGGCAGAAACATTTAATGAGCTGAACGCGATTAATTCAGAATTGCCCACGACGCAGAGACGATTCAATCAGTGGAAAGTGTCTTATTTAGGAAGGAAATTATAGTCCTTGAGAATCCAGCCATTTATCCACCAATGGCGCGACCTGCTTTCTAGAATTGATGGGTTCGCGTTGTTCAAAGCTGAACGGATACTTTTCCATCGGCTCGAGTCCCAGGGGCTCTTGTATCTGGCCTAAAAGACTCCTTATTTTCGCAGGGTCGCCACGAAAGATCATTTCCCGGTGAAACTTCTTGTCGTTGTAAGATGTCATAATGATTGCAATATCCAAGTTTCTCTCTTTAATCCAGCTATCCAAACCTGCCAGGACATCGAATCGCGAAAGATAATCTAAGCTCACGACCATTGAGCTGATGCCAACCGTTCGGTATTCTTTGTAGTCCTTGCGCAACAAGTCCCGAAGCGACAGCCCTTCCACGTTCTGTTTGGCAGCGTTCAGTTCATCGGTCCAGGCCTGTAGGAAGGCATCACCCGCCTGCAACTTTGGAAGCAATAGCTCAAAAGCATCCTTGTCAACCTGCTCTACCCGATGCTTTAGTCCAGAGGTATCAATTGCTAGTGGACTAAGAAAAAGCCTAGCAAGTTTGGGATTAATTCGAGCGACTTGATCCTTGTAGTGATTGAGCACGAGCGAAACACAGGAACCTGATTTTTGGATGATCCTGGGGCTGGCATCAGTAAAGAATTTCTCATCTTCGTGGTGGTCAATTATACCTACAACCCGGGCGCCAAGTTCTTCCATAAGATTCTTGACAACATCGCCTTGAGGTTTATTATGATCCACTAGTACCAAATCGACTTTTACTTTTGCCAACTGGTCCCAGCAGTTCTCAATATCGTCCAGAAAAATCAGGTCCCTCACGTTGATGTCTGAGTGTTTCATAGCGTATACGATATCTCTCCTGAGATCAAAGTCTTGTCTAGGAATATTGATCAACGGCAGAACAAGAGATTTGGAAGAAAGCGTCGAATACGCAATTGCCGAAACCACAGAGTCCATGTCTGCACTCTGGTTACCGGTAACTAAAGTGACCCGAGACTTCTCAGCGACGTTGCGCAGAAGACTGCTAAATTGCATTAGCATTGTCTTAGGCGAATTCAAGTTATCTGATTTAGTAAATTCTTTTAATTCTGCAGGGGAAATTTTTAATGATTTGGTAATCCGGGGGGGCTTTTGACATTTGTCAAAAAAGCTTTCTCCATGGTGTCCATTCCTCGGAAAATTGCCAGACTTGTGGCATTTGCGTTGATTGTCTCATCCATACTGCTTGTAGGAGTCAACACTGGAGGCTGGAACTTGCGAGCGGGCACAAAATCACGAGTCTCCGGAGACAGAAGACTTGTCTTCTCGCACAAGAGCTCCAAGTCGCCTCAACAGATAGTGGAAGAAAATTACAAAACGTTGCAGGAGATATTGAAGAAGCCCATTCACGAACCCAAGACGGGAAATCTTGTGCGACCGCCCTCTGATCCAAATCGATACGATCGTGCCAATGCAACGATGCTGGTGTTGGTGAGGAATCGAGAATTAGGTCCGGTTGTGCGGACAATCAAGCAAATAGAGGCAAAGTTCAATCAAAAGTTTCATTACCCTTACGTCTTTCTCAATGAGGAGCCATTCACGGAGAGATTTAAGGAGACCATCCAAAAACACGTTTCGGGTGAAGCGTTTTTTGAAAGCATAGATAAGGCGATCTGGGAACAGCCCAAATCGATCAACTTACGAAAACAGGCCGACGCAATGCAACAGCTGGAAACAGAGAACGTTGGATATGCTAAATTGGTATCTTATCATAACATGTGTCGTTACTACAGCGTGAATTTCTATAACCATCCTCGATTACAACAGTTCCGCTACTATTGGCGTTTCGAGCCGGGCACCGATTACTACTGCGATCTTGATTACGATGTGTTCAAATTCATGCAGATGAACGAGAAAACCTACGGGTTCGTGATAGCGTTGTACGATGTTGAACAATCTGTTAAGACTCTGTGGCCAAGAACATTGGAATTCTTGGCTCAACACCCGGATTATCTTCATCCGAATGGAGCTTACGATTTCCTGCTAGAAAACCTGCAAAATCCACATAAGACACTCACTGCAAATGGGTACTCCACATGCCATTTTTGGTCCAATTTCGAGATAGCAGACATGGACTTTTACAGAAGCAAGCCGTACTCAGATTGGGTCAACTTTCTGGACTCCACTGGAGGTTTCTACTACGAGCGTTGGGGAGATGCCCCTGTCCATTCTGTGGGTGTTAGCCTTTTTGAGGATCGCGACAAAATACATTGGTTTAGAGACATAGGCTACAAGCATCAGCCGTACACTCTCTGCAGTAATCGTCCGTCGTGTGCAGGGTGCAAGAAAGCAGATTTCACCTATAAACATCTGCGCGATCAGAACTGTCTGACCAACTGGTGGAACTACGAAATGTCCGAGGATCAGAAGAATATATACTGAACGCAGGGTTTTTATATAATAATTAGGTACCGGTTGAAAAATTGTCCATTTTTATTTTTGTCTCTGAAAATGAAGTCTGTCAACGTTGCCGTTATTGGAGCTGGTGTGGTTGGCTCTGCGTTTCTTCAACAGCTTGCTGGCGCAAAGTCTGCTATTAAATATAATCTGATTTACTTGTCCACCTCGAGAAAGGCGGTTTACAACAAGGACTACTCTCCAATTGAGCTGGCCAAATGGTCGCAGTTGCTCCAATCGACCGCTTCTGCCCCGCTATCCGTCGAGGATCTTGTTAATTACCTCAGAAAGTCTCCATTACCTGCAATTCTTGTCGACAACACCTCGAACGAGACCCTGGCCAAGTCTTATCCGCTTTTCCTGAAGAATGGTATTTCTGTGGCCACTCCTAACAAAAAGGCCTTTTCCAGCTCGCTGTCGTTGTGGAACGATATCTTTTCTTCAGAAAATATCGGACTGTGCTACCACGAGGCTTCTGTTGGTGCTGGATTGCCTTTGATTTCCCCTCTCAAAGAGATGGTGGCCACAGGCGACGAGGTGGAAAAGATTGAAGGAATTCTGTCGGGCACGCTGTCCTACATTTTCAACGAGTACTCTACCATCTCGCCAAACACGTCGAAATTCAGCGACATTGTCAAAGTAGCCAAAGAGCTGGGCTACACGGAGCCAGACCCAAGAGACGACTTAAACGGTCTCGATGTCGCCAGAAAAGTTACCATTCTGGCCAGAATTGCCGGCTTGCAAATCGAGTCGCCAACGTCATTCCCAGTTCAGTCCTTGATTCCCAAACAGCTCGAAACCGTTCAGTCTGCTGACGAGTACCTGCAGAAGTTACCCGAGTTCGACCACGAGATGGAGAAGCTCAAGTCTGAGGCTGCCTCCGAGGGTAAGGTGCTGAGGTTCATCGGCAAGGTCGATGTGATCAACAAGAAGACCAGCGTCGAGATTGCCAAATACGATGCATCCCACCCATTTGCTTCGCTCAAGGGCTCTGACAACGTCATCTCCATCCAGACCAAGCGTTATCCTAACCCGCTGATCATCCAAGGAGCGGGTGCCGGAGCCGAAGTTACGGCCATGGGAGTTCTTGGCGATGTGATCAAGATCGCCGAGAGAATTGCAGCCTAAATATAACGGATAGTTTTATAATACAGTAATTGTACATCTTCTATTTACTCGTGAAACTTTCGTGACTAGACGTGTTCTCCAGATCGTCTTCGAAAAGCGCTATTTCCACGTCCTTGCTCAACTCGTATCTTCTTTTGGCTTCTCTGAAGAGCCTACGAAGCTTGTTCTTGTCCTGGCAGATCGACATGAAGTCCAGCATCACACCCTGAGAATCGAGGTACACTCTCTGGTTTTTCGCCTGCTGGCTGACAGACAGATTCACGCGGGCCACATGGGCGTTGTTTGGAGCTAAAAAGAAACCCCCGTTCTCTCGTAACTCCGCAATGTATGCGCCGGTCTTGTGAATAAACTGCGCGTACTTGAAACTTGGTTTTCCCCACGAATAAACCACGTCAAAGTCGTCGTCCCTGAAATACGAAGCTGTGCGATTGTCCAGCAGGAAGCCGCACTTCTCAACGATGTAGAGGTGGTAGAAGTATTTGTTCTCCTTAAGAAGATCGCCTGCAAATTCGGGATCTGTCCAAGGATCGAAGGCCAGCGAAATGTCCACCGTCGAATGCAACGGGTTGCGTGTCGGCAGCGTGCAAAGCTCCTGCCACGGAGCCTCGACGAGAGTCAATCCGTACCTTTCGCAGTGCTTGGCCCAGCTGTTGACCGTATCTTCCACCAGTTTTGAGGTGTTATTGAGCCACTCCAGCCGCACATGGAAACAGTGCTCTGGGTTGTGCACTATATCGTAATGGACAGTGACAAGCTCTGGCTGCCACGAAACACCGTTGGGGTCGAGGTCACATATAACCTTACGACTCAGAACAACGCGTTTCTTGGATCCAGAATCCTCTGTGGGGCTTGAAGAGACAGATTTTTCGCTATTTTTCTCAGTTTCTGACTTGCGCAGAGACGCAGGCGACTTGGCAGAGCCCGCAGACGAGTCCTCGTTGATGAGCTGGTAGAAATAATGGCCGTCCAGAAATCTGTGTCTGGACTCAACGTGGCGGAAAAGACCCTGCTCCATAAGCTTATTACCGTACTCCACAGCCTGTTCCCTAGTGTCTATGTCCTCAAAATTTTCTATCATCCAGCTGACCAGATCCATTCCTAGGAAACAGTTGGAATGCGTTCTCAAATGCCATTTTCTGTCCACCACCTGGATGCCCTTGTCCCCCTCGATGGCTTTCTTGAGCTCTGAATGGCTGACTTTTTGGTCAAATCTGGCTGTCTGAAAAAGCGAGCTTGTCTTGTTTTCTTCAGATAATTGCGCAGAAACTGCTCTCAAATAGCTAAACAAGTTTCCCGTGTAAAAATTGATCTCCGGGATGATCTCGAGTCTCTTGCGCTCGGTCTTTTCGCCGGCCGTGCGATATTTCAGTCTGCTGATGATGGAAATCAAGGAGCGTATACCTTCCAGGCGGATCTCCTCTGGAGTGAGCTTTTCAGAAGCCAAGTTGAACGCGTTGGACGGAATCTCCGTAGGTAGAATCACAAACTTGATACGGTGGCTGCGCCGTTGCGCAGGCTCCACGGTCTCCTCGTATCCGGCCAGCAGCTGGTCCAGCTGGTTCCAGTTGTAATTTCTCGGCTCTCCTTGCAACGCATGTATCACCATAGATTTGTACTCCTGGGAGTACCGCGTGCGGACGTAGGGCATGTAGTCCGACCGCGACGACCTCGTGAGCACATCATCCGGCCGGCTCATCCGCTTGTATACCTGGACATTTACCAGTCCGTCGAAATCGCAGCTGATGCGGTGTATTTCATTGGACAGACTGAGGTACAACCGGGAGCCAAGATAATTTTTTTTGCTGAGATACCGAACTAACAGCTTGGAGTCTCCGTTAGGCTTGCGCTGGTTTTCGACTTTGGCCACGTTTTCTGACACGCAGATCTGGAAACCCAAAGTGAGTCGCAGCGAGATCATTTTGCGCATCAGCGTCTCGCTGTTGCGTCCCTCGTTAACATCTGCCTGGCTCAGAAACACGTCGTATATTCTGAAGGTGAAGTTCTGGTTGAAGTCAGAAACGCTTGGGAACACAGGGGTCATCAGCGGGAGCGAAGCCGGCGTGGAAATGGACTTCCATTTTATGCTTTTCCGCTTCACGTTCTGCGGAAAAACAAACTGCCACCGTCCGTACGACACCATGCCCAATAGCTCGCTAGTTTCCGCATTTGACGGGTTCTCGACCTGGGTCCAGTAGCTGTTGAGAAGCGAGTTTTTTTCCTGGCGTTCGTGGCGCGACTTGTCGCGCTCTTCGGTCGTGCTGTGGGCACGGGCAGGAGCTTTTCTCAGGGACGGATCAGAGCTCATTTTGCTCATCCGTGGACGATGATCGGTGACAGAGATCGTGTCGAGCTTTGGCACATCGTCGTCGTTCTTTAGGGGAATCGACTTCACGCCAGGTGACGAGATAATGCGCTTGACGAACTCAAACGCCTTTGGCGACGTCTTTTTTGGTTCTGTCTTGGTGATGGAAAGCAATGACGAAAACGCACTCACGTTGGACTTTGAGGTCGTCGTCACACCGACCACGGTCGACGTCGTGGGTGACGAGGCCTTAAAAGTGTTGAGGTCCGGAGGCTCCAGCCCGCTTCGCACTCCGGCACTCACAGCCCTGACCGGCTGTCTCATGCGGGAAACAGTTTTTTTAGGCAGAGCAGCAATCGTTTTGATCCCGAAAAGCTCTCCGTCATACTCATCCATCGCCTCCTGCACAGAAGCAGCACCAGAGAATACCAGTTCTCTAACGTTGATGGCACTGAGATCGTTTTCCATGACTCCCATCATCTGGAGCTCATAAATCTTGCACCGTGGGAGCCATTGGTGCACCGCCTGCGTAGCATCGCTCCAGAAAGAAATGTCCATCCAGCTGGGTATGCAATGTTTCAGTTTCTTTTGACTGTCCAGATACCTCACCAGCGGAACGACATGGAGCGGCGGCTGCGATAGACAGAGGACATCTATCGTCGCGTCGATAGTCGTCATCAGCTTGCTCGTTTGCACAAGAATGTCGTATTCGGTGTCGAAAATGCCGGTCCCCGGAGAAATCACCAGAAAATGGTTGGTGGTGTGCCGCAGATCAGGGTCTCTGAAATCGTCACTCACCAAACTCATTCCCAGATTAATGGCTTCGAGAAGATTACCTTTCACAGAGGGCAGGAACGAGCCCTCGATGATATACTCTTCGGGATGAAGGTGCGTGCGACGGGGATTCTTGCGCAAGCGGATATCCTTGGAGAAGTTGGCAAACTCTCGGCGAAGAGCGGCCATGATCTCATTCCAGAGCAGAATACTCACTTGGTCCACAACCACACGGTAATAATCTTTCCGGTTGCTTGGCTGCTCTCCGGCACGGTAACGGTTGGTCTCTGTATTCAGGTCGACGCTGCTGAATAGAACGACGGTGATCAGGTGATGGGTGCCCAAGTCTTTCCAGCGCTGGAATATTCGCGGCAGCAGAGAATTGACCAGCTTGTGGAACATCTGCTGCCCGCTCTCTTCGAAGTGCCACATCTCAGAGGATATCTGTATGAAGACAATCAGCCGTGCCGACTCCGACCGGAAAACTATCTTGGTGTCTGGGCCAACATAGCCGGAAAACACCTTACGGCCATTTCTGTATATCTTGCCCACGGTAGCCCGGATTGAGCCTTGCAGAAAAGAAAGTCTCTGGGATCGATAAAGACACTTCTCGGTCAGAATGGACGACAAATTCCACATGTCTCCCCGCGACAGATGCATGTCCTTGACATACACCTCAATAACATCTGCCTCCACTAACTCAGGCGCCTTGATGCGCACCAAGACCTGACTCCGGAGCTTCAGGTCGAGCAGCTGTTGCAAAGGCCCTGACTGCAGCGATATGTAGTTGTTGTTGCCTAATCCTCCCAGTGAAACCTCAGACGGCTTGTACGTAAAATAGAATTTGCGAGCGGAGCCTTCTAAACACTCCAGCTCGCACACGGCGCCCTCCTTGATTCCCGGTATCACACTCGGGTCCAGCAAGACGTCCTCAGTAGACGTTCGGCTCTCATGGAACCGCACACTCAATTGGACCGGCTCTGTAAACGGCGGAGTCGGTGTTTCGGGCACAGCAGCCGAGAGCTCTGAATCACGTATAGTGGAGGCCGAGTCTGCATTCCACTGGTCTGGTGTTCGGACGTTCAAAAGACTGCTGCTGGAGGAGCTGCGGATCTCATGTAGATTCCTTGACTTCCCCACCACCAGGCTGGCCTCGTTTGTGCGCTGGCTCATCCGGTTCCTCGCGCGATTGAGGTCAAAATTGATCCGCTGTCGCTGCATGAATAGAAGTAATTTTACCAATAAATTTATTTTCGTAATTATTTTAGAGCTCCACCGTGTGAGTCACAAATTTGCGGCTCTGCAAATACGTGCTCAGCTGTTCTTTGGCAGCAGTCCGCGAAACAAACGATGCCACACTCAGCTTGTCGAACTGCTGCTGTAGCTTCGTGACAGGCTTGTCTTTGAGCTTGTACTCGCTGATCTTCTCCTGTAAGTACTTCAATTGGTCGTAATATGTTCTCAGTTTGGCATCAAGACCAGATATGATCACCTCAAAATTTGTTGGCGAGTCAAGAACGCGCTCAGGGAATAACCTCCCATTCAGGACGAATAACCGTGCATGCAAATTGTTCTCCAGATCGCGGAGCCTGTCGTATCCCTTGCGAATGGCATCCAGCTGTTGGGACGCGGCAGGAGACAGGTTCTTTTCCACACGAGGGGTTTTCCGGTCGCACTCCAACTGTTTCAGCACGCTAGAGATCTCCTCACTTTGTTTCGTCATAGCGTTCAGCTTCAAGAGTAAAGAGCTTGTACTGGCGAATGTAGCACCCAAATCAGCTGTCAGCTTGGCATAGTCTACTGAGTTCTGTTCAATGACTTCGGAAAGCTTTCCTACCTCAGACAGCCTCCAACATGCAGGAAACAGACCATGGTCTTTGAAATTGCGTGGGAATTTCTTGGACATGTGATCATCCATAAACTCTTTGAATAGCCGTATGTTTTCATCCAAAATGCTGAATTCTGCGTCGGTGTGGTATACGATCTCCTCCATTTCACGTAGCACTTCGTTGGAACTCAGCTGTGGAATAGCCACAGACCCCAGCGAAACCAGCTGAGGAACCGCTTTTGGTCCCGAATCTTGGTCAATTTCTCCAAAACCAACTTTTTGCTCCACCACCTTGGATTCGGTCGTGGACACAAACTTCTCCACAGGAGCCGATTTGGGTGCGGGCATTAACTCCGCCACAGATGCCTGTTTTAGCTTGTCGGCTTCTGAGGCGCTTTGTCCCATGGCAGAAGGCATGGCTGACAGCTCAGAAGCACTTTCAGATACTGACTGGTCGGCGTTGGAGTCGCTCTGTGGCGTTTCCACAGTCGAATCCTGTTCCGTCTCAGCAGCGTCATCTGAATTTTTGGTGTCGGGCAGTATGGCGACTCTCCGCGACTGCTCAGCGTCCTTTTCCTCCGTCTGTGATTGAGAGACTTGGCTGGCTGCAGAAGGAGACACAGGTTGTTCACTGTCTCCTTTGATGTCAAACTCAGCTCCCTCTTGTGATTCCTCAGTTCTCTGGGCCGGAGCATCCAAGCTCTCCGGCCTTTCGATCTCCTCGAAGCTTCCGTCCAACTCAGCCGAGCGCTCACTGATGTCAGAGTCCTCCAAAGAAGGAACTTTTGAAGCCTTCCCTTCAGCCTCAGCCTCATTCTCCTCAAGCACATCATCTTCCCCGGACTCTTCGGTATTCTCTTCGCTCTCGTGTTCTTCCGAATCTCCAGTAATTTGTCCAGCATCTTCGTCCGCTTCCGACTTTGATTGTGAGAAATCGAAAGCAGGAGACTTCGAGTTCAGGAAAGGGCTGCTCTCCTTGTTTCCCAAACTTGCAAATGGACTTTCTGACTTTTTATTCAGTGATGAAAATGGACTCTCGGTATTTTTTGTCAAGCTTACAAATGGACTTGGAGATTGCAACTTGGTGTCAAGTTTTAGATTGTCCAGGCCGAGAGATGTCTTGAATTCTGATCCAAAAGGACTCGATCCAAAGCTTAACTGGCCATCCTTCTTCTCCTCTTGGCCAGCTGGCTTTGAGGTTAATTGTGCAAACGGACTGTCGTTGGTGGCCTGGTTAGCAGACCCAAACTTGAAAGCTGAACTGCTTTGTCCGAATAAACTGGAACCAGTATTCCCAGATGCATTTTTGGCCTCTCCAAACGGTGAACTATCTTTCTTGTCGGCATTTGCGAATATGTCCTCTTTAGGTTGAAGATTAAAAGGTGATGATGATTTGGAAGCAAAAGCATTCGTTCCTGAGCTGAAGGATGAAAAGGCCCCAAAACTTTTTGCTGCGGCCGTGCTATTTAGTGAAGAGGTATTCATCACAGATTTTGGTTGCCCAAAAGAAAATCCAGACTGTCCAAAACCAGACTGTCCAAACCCAGAAGAGTTGGAAGATCCAGAAGCTGCAGAACCAAAGGCAGATTGACCGAATCCTGATTTTCCAAATGCAGAGCTTCCGGAAGCTGCTGCAAATCCCGATTTTCCAAACGGAGACGAGGTGGCTGCGGAAGATCCAAACGGATTTTGTATAGCTGGCTTTTCGGACTGTCCAAACAAACTGGTTTTATTCTGGGAGAGAGAAAAACCGGAGTCCTTAGGTAGCGTTTGCTCTGGCACTGCTTGTGTGATCTCGGTCTTTCCAGTGTCAGCCAAAGCCGCTTTCCTAGCAGCCTCAAGGTCAACCTTACCAGCATTGATATCAGTAGACAGCCAAATGTTCCAGACCAACAACTGTCCTCTATTGGTAAGGGCAATCATCTTAGGCAGAGGACCACATTTTTCAACCTGTTGACAAGGTTCCAAAACTTCCAGTTTCCCTGTTAGATCAAGCACCAGACCAAGTGGCGTGTCATCATCTCCTGAGTCCGGGTCCAAAGGCATTTGCGCTCTATCAGAATCGTTCAATTGCAATAATTGCTGTGTCCTTGTTAACGTGTTGAACTCTGTAGATTTAGAGCTAGTGAGAAATGCCAGGTGGGGGTAGGTGGAGCTCCAATTGTGCAAATGGAGAGCGTAGAAACTCAGCTTTCGTGGAATTACACCAAATGGCATGCAAATGTCGTAAGCTTCGCTCTTCTTAAACGTGGCACCATCTCTAGTAACAACGTACGATTTCGTATCGTCATCTTCTGTTTCGCCACCAAGAACCACCAACCAATTGTCTTGCTCTAGGACCGTGACAAAGAGGGGCTTGCGATCTTCATCGAGGGAGATGGTCTCTGAGCTTCCAGAGTCTATTCTGAGCAACTCAAGATGAGAATCCACGCCAATTAATAGGGTATTACCGTCTGTCCAGCTGAAACAGCTACACCCTTGACGAAGGGTCCTAGTTCCAGTTCCATCGAACAGCATCAGTTGGCCATTAGCCAACAGATAGGCAAAGACGCCTGGTGCCACAGGAGCAAGGTGAACTACCTCAGATTCTATCGAAGTAAGCTTCTCTGTAGCCCATGTGCCCTGTTTCAAACTGTCAAGGTCAGCCTGCTCTATGATGTTTTGTTTCACAATGATCAGCTGGGACTCGTCCGCGGATATTACTATTTGAAGGCAATCAGCTTGCTCAAACTCCTGCAAACATCCAATAGTATATTGTTCAGTGTCTGGATCGGTCGAAAGAAGCTTGTCGAGCTCCTGAGTATTGATAAGCTTGAGCTTATTGTTGAGGTAGGCAAAGAGTAAACTGTGTTTATTGGAGATTGCCAGAAGGTTATAGTGGTGTGCGTCCAAATTTTGCACTGCAACAGGATCAAACAGCTGAACCGCTGGTCTCAATTGGAAACCGAACTCCTCAAGCTCCAGTTGTTCCAAAGTTGACATTAACTAATTATTCTGCACCAAAAACTTTAAAAAAAAAACCCAAAAATATCAAATACCTGTATAATACCCGTATTAATTATTATTTTATTATTTATTATGGTCACGATAATAGCACAAACGTACATAGAGAAAAGGCACTCACATAATAATTTGGGGGGTCTCGACATTGTCCTTGATAGATTTGTGCGGCAAAACCTTACCACCGTTGACATAGACCTCGTCCTTGACAGTGACGTCCTCTCCAAGAACGGTGACACCCTCGAGTCTAGCCCATTTACCAACAGTAGAGTTCCAGCCCACAATGGTAGATTTGACCCAAGCGTGGTCCTTGATTTGAGAGTTTTTCAGAATAGTAGATCTTTGGATTCTGACACCGTCACCAATGATACAGTTAGGACCAATGACGACGTTAGGACCGATCTTACATCCCTTTCCGATCTTGGCAGATGGATCGATCAGTACGTTACCGCCGTTAACATACTCCTCAGACGTCGACGTGAGCAAATTGGAGTTCTTCTTGGTTAAAGCGGACAGGTAAAGGCACATACCGGAGAGGAAGTCCTTTGGTTGACCAACGTCCATCCAGTATCCTGGGAGATCAAATGAGTACAGCTTCTTTTGCTCGACCAAAATTGGGAAGGTCTCGTGCTCGATAGAAGTTGGCCTCATCTCGATCAGATCGATCACGGATGGGTTCAAAACGTAGATACCAGCGTTGATTCTGTTACCAACGAATTCGACTGGCTTCTCGACAAATCTCTCGATGAGGTTTGGAACGTCTCTGTCGTGGACAATAACACCGTATTTAGATGGTTCATCCACCTTAGTGGCGACAATAGTGGCCTCACCACCATGGGCGGTGTGGAATTCGAGCAAATCCCTCAGAGGGTACTCACAGATGACATCGGAGTTGAGAACGAAGATTGGGGTGTTGTCCTTCTTCAAGATCTTCTCAGCGAGCTTCAAAGGACCAGCAGTTCCCAAAGGCTCCTCCTCAACGGAGAAGGTGATGCTAACGCCGTACTCCTTCTCGTATTGCTTGAGGGCACCAACCATGACTTCTGGCTTGTAGTTCACCGCCAGAACAATGTCGGTACAGCCAGCGTTGGCCAGGGCCTCGATCTGGTGCAAGATCATAGGTCTGTTACCAAACTCGACCAAAGGTTTTGGCAGCGACAGCGTCAGGGGTCTCAAACGAGTACCGTAACCACCAACCAAGATTAATCCTTTCATTTTATTCTATCAACGAGTGTATTCTAAAAAAAAAATCGACACGTCTTCAATTTTTAGGGGGAACGTGAATGTTATTTATATGTCGACTTACTTACACCACAAATAAAGTGGTAGAACCACCAAAAGGAACAGAAAACACGTAAGCCAATTTTTGAAAAAGAAACAATACAGAATAGATTATAGTTACGTTTGAATCGCCGCACGGACGCGTCAGGCAGCCGCATGATAGTGCGCGACTAAAATTCGGGGGCCACGAAGCTTGCCGGGTAATATGGTATCGGGTGAAATTCTTGGCTTTTTGTGTTTCTCTTTGTCCCGACGCACAGCTTGCACTCACTTTAGGAAATCTACCACCAGCCTATTGAACTCGGCAGGGTTATCGAGATACATATTGTGTCCTCCACCATGAACAACTTTAAATTCGGCCGCACCTTCCTGCATCTTGTTCAACCAATTGACAGCAACACGACCAGCATCTGAAAACATAAAATCGTGCTGGCCGTAGATCCACAAACTTTTTGGTTTCAGATTCTTCAGTCTGTCCAATATGGGTATTTTGGCCATGATGCTAGAGTCGAAAATGCGCATAATGGCTGTCTCTGACACCGAGGCCGCTACATTTGTGTGGTAGACGTACTTAGCGAACGTCTCCAGCTCTGTCGCGTCGGAGAAATCTTTCGATCTAGTAAATTTTTCAATGTTCCGACTCATTAAAAGCCGCACAGCCACAGGACCCAGCAGCCTCACCGGCAAAAACGTTGGCATTCTCATATGCCACAGGGCCTGGAACCCAGGCTTTATGGCTGGATACCGACCGAGAAAGGAGTAATCGGCCGGCGAGTACGAGCATGCCATCGTGAAATCACCGGCGATATTCTCGTAGGCAGGGTTAGTTATGGCAAAAGGTGATCTTTCCACGCCTCCAGGGCTAGCTAAAACCAGCCTTCGCACGGCGGTCGGATACTTGATGCAGTAGAAAACTCCAAGATAGCCACCCAGAGAATGAGCCACCAGGTCGAACTGGTTTATGCCATTATTGCATCTCCATTCTTCTAATGCATCCACGTAAAAATTGACCACACGTTCGACCACAGAATGCTGGTTTTTCAGATACTTTTTTAGGTTTCTTTCTTTCAGAGTAAAACTTTCTGGAACATACAACGATCTATGCAAATGCTTCATATGCTGGACTTTTGAGTCGTCAAAACTGACCTGAAGCCTCGTTCTGTTATCGGGAAAAGACGGGCCGTGCCTGCTGGAAAGTCCAAACCCAGGAAGATCCAAAGCATGCACGACTTTGTTCCCTGCCCTTGCGAGGGAGTGAATATTTTTGAACCACCATCCGGACGACGCGGCATAACCGTGCAACATAACCACATGGTTTTTGGAGTCTGCGTTCTGAACTCGCACCTCGGAAATGGACATGTTCTTGCTCAGCGGGGTAGACAACGTAGAGGCTCGAATTCCCTCGTATTCGCGGTTGTAGTAGGGTAACGCCATACTGAACAGCTTATCGTGCGCTGCCCTATCCGCGTGCGGGTCGCTGACGTGATTGTACCAGAGTTTTAGCGAATCTTTCCAGCCATATTTCGAAACCGTGGATTTGAATCTGATAAAAATCATAAGAAATATCTGTACATAATATCTTAGCTAATAACCCTCACCGTTGAAGTTGGTGAAACCTGTGAGCAAGAACACTTTATAATAGTCTTTTTTCCAGATGTTGTTGCAGAACTCGCAGCTCGAGGTCGACACAGCGTCGACGCAGGAACCAGCAAAGTAGAAATTGTCTGCTCCGGACCCGTCGAATCCGTGTTTGAAATAGTCGCACAAAATCGTCTTTTTCAGGTCTTCCACGGTCTCAAACTGCGAGCAGAAATACTGTTCTAGATGCGGGTCCTGGGCAAGAACGTCAATTTCCTCGATACACCGGTCGATAGGGATCAAAATCGAGGGGATCTGGATGTACTTGTCCAAGAAGAACAGCGCGTTTGGGACAGCGTCGTCACCAAGATGGATCACAGGAGTACCAACCCAGTAGTCAAACAACCGTTGCACCTCGTAAAGTAGGTTGTACATCTTTTTGTACAACACAGGACAAGCCTTGACTCTGTTAAGTCCTTGTCCTGTGTTTGTGAGTTGATACTGCTGGCCGTTGAACAGATCGTCATCTGCTGCTGCCCAGAGCTCAATCATATCGCGCATCACGTGAGACCACAGCTCCAGCGCCTGTTTCACATACAAATACTGCTTCTCATGGCTGTGAGTGAGTCTGGCTCCTGCATGGCCGTATCTGATTCCTAGTGAATACTTTGTGGTGCCCGAGCTCTTGAAAAAGTCATCGAGCCGCTTAATCATCCTCAGCACCGGGAGTCGGTTTTTATTAGTGTAGGCGTTGAAGTCTCCGATGGAGTAGAGAATTCTAAGGACCTCCTCTTTGGTGAGACCGTCGGGAGACGAGTATCTGGACGAAAGTCGCTCAATGGCAGACTCCTTTTGCTTGATCTGCCGGTTGATTACTGACCTGGTCTTTTTTTCGGGTCTTATTTCGGCTGTGGCAGAAATTATCAGCGGGTCGTCAAACATCTTGATAGCAGACTTGTCCTTTTTCGACTCGATTAGACCCAAAACAGTCTTTATTGGCGCATAAAGATCAAACTCCATGTGCTCCCGAACTTCCGGCAGCATGGAGTCCATTACCACATAACAAAGTTTGCCAAAGGTGTCTCTCATCCGCTCTGGGTTCATGATCTTGTATCGTCTTCCAATTTCAAAAACTGTTTTATACCACTCCTGATTATCCGAAAAAGTCTTATCCTGAATTAGTTTCTGACCAACTTTCATGTTGGATGAGACCACCAAACCGGCCAAAATCGAGCAGATCTCTCTCAGCTGTTCGACTATCCGCTTGGTTCTTGATCGATAAGACAGAATATCCACTCTGTCCGTGTATTCCGAAACGCTGAGGGTGGCTTCCAGCAACCTCAAAAGCTGTCTCTCTTCGTAAGAAAGACGAAGAGGAATGAAACGGACGTTCCGACGAATGCCCCTTAAAATGGTTTTTTCTATTTGCTCGGTTTTCTCTTCCTCGTCCAAAACCTCTTCGGGCGTGTTGTCAATAGGCTCCGCCTCTGCAACAGGTTCTGGCTTCAGTGTGACCAGCTCCTTGAATCTGTGCCGTTTTCTGGTACCCCCTCGGTGGACGAATTGGAAACACACTCGACAGAAAGGCTCATTGCAGTCCAAACACTGGATTTCCGTTGCTATGTGCTTACAATCAATACAGAAATCTGGATTCACAGTATCTTCTTCCACCTGAGGCTCCTCTTGCACTCCAGACCCCTCTACTTCGTCCACAATCTGGTCTTCGTCTAATAGCTCAGCAAGCGTGCGTTTTAATTCCATGAAAAATAATTTACGCCCTTGCACCAGATTTACACAACAGTGGCACCAACAGGATACTGTCGACAAAAGGGTGCTATTTGAACCGAATACCACACAGATAGCCTCGAGAGGAGTATTTGTGGTCACTTAAGGGCGCAATCAACACAGGATACGGCGAATTACAGAGGACTATATAACTCGGCAAATTGGACAGCTAGAAACGCCGATCAAGTTCGAATCCATCCAGATAAAGCTCCAAAACAACATATCAAGAGATGGGAGCACGACAGATCTCTTCCAGCACTAAAAGTCTATATTCTGTGCTCTACCCTTATCATATCAAACAATAAAACGGATAAAAAATTTAAATTTTTTAAGCCTCAGACCGGAAACTCCATCAGAAAAGTGAGTCCGAAAAGTAAAACCCGATCTACTACGACTCATTTTACCGGGAGCCAGAACTTTTCCGCATGTGCGAACTGCAGTAAAGCTGTACGGGAACATATACAGTTGATACGGGCGATACATTAGGATCACGAATTAGCCTGTTTGAAAACACCATGCAATGTAATTGATCCAATGACTCTGGCAAAAGAATCGAGATCACAATCACATACATACAGGACCCTAGACAAATTACGGGCAAACACATTCGTGCACTTAAGAATAATTTGATTAAGTTGTCGGGCGGAGGTCAGATGTTTGATTATAATATGCGGGGACACCATTGGTTGTTTGGCCCACATATTGCCTGCGAGAGTCACCCATAATTTCAAAAGTTTGTGACTGGTTTAATTTTTTTTTCTGGTCGTGCACCAAACCTAAACATATGCACATTTTCCGATAGGAATGATAACCGGTTACGTCAAAAGAAACAAAATAAGTTACGCTCTCCCATCAACTAGTTGAGTGTGGCATCAATTGCAACATGCAACTGTTATTGAGCATCATTGCCAGGCATTGAGCTACTACACGGAGCATTGAGAAGATTGGAGCCAGTTTTTTTAATCAATCGCAGAAATATCGGAAACGCTATCTTTACTTGCTGGAAACTTTTCTTTTTTAAAAAAAAATGCTATTTTTTTCCGCCATGTTTCCCTTTTCTAATCTTTATAAATACTCACTAGTGGGCCTATCTTCACTTGTTTCCCTTTTTGCTGAACGTTTTCCCTTCTGCTATTTTTTGCAACAAAATCTTATCAATCAGCTACAATTGGGTTTCTAGGTAGCTAACAAGAGCTCAGAGCGCGAATTGCGATGTCGTCTTTTCTTTACCATTTGGCTAATGTGGGTTCCACCAGGCAGGTGGACGGATGCCTCACACCAAATTCTATCGAGCCAGTGCGCAGACTGCAAAGCGCCAACAACAAAGAGAATGATATGACTGATATCTCTGAAATGGATTTAGTGAAGAAAACAGACACTACAACATCCATCTCTACCACGGGATCGTCTGAAATGGCCTCCAGTACAATTCCTTCACCACCTCTTTCGCCGTACACGAGAGCTGCAACTTTTGATGAGAGCGATGCTAGGTTTGCACAGCTGTTATTTCCTAAGCCTATGAGGAAATCGTTAGCAGCAGAGCTCCCTAAACAGGAGCCACAACAACAAAAACAACAACAACAACAACAATTTGTTCTGCGCGAGATTAATGTTAACTGGGAGAAGAAAAGAAGCTTCCCTGTCGAGGATTTGAACGATACAACATTATACGTCAATCCTTATGGGGACCTCAAAACGCCTGGTTACAAAAAGAGACAGCTCAAATTTTTGAGCCAGTACCAGTTGAATGTCGCTTCGAAGAAAACAGTGCCTGCTGTTTCCGCCATGAACTACCGCTACAGAACAACACCACGTGTCAAGGAGTACGTGTCGAGCGATACTGAGACTGATAGACCGCGGACTAGAAGATTGGTTCGAGAAAATTCTGTGGCACTGGAGTCTGACGATAATGTCACATCGAGACCAATGACTCCGCGCAAACGCAAGCCGGCAGTGAAACGTCTCGACTCGCCGTCCACAGGATCTCCTCCGCCATATAATTTCGACTACAAGGCCATTCCGGACTACTCGCCGCCAATCTCTAGCCTTCCGAACAATAGTCGTTGTTTGAAAACGGAATGGAAGGGACACGCAATGGATCTAAGCGAAGATCCTTTGGTCGAGGAACTACATCCTGCTGAGGTGCAACTGGCTTCTACGCTGAGACTGCCTCCGAATGTGTATTTGGACTCGAAGAGGCGGATTTTCTTCGAGAAGGTGAAACGTCTCAGGGCCAACTTGCCCTTCCGACGTACTGACGCGCAAAAGGCTTGCAAGATCGATGTGAACAAGGCCAGTAGGCTTTACGCTGCATTTGAGAAAATTGGATGGTTGGACGATTACAGGTTTGATGAGTATCTAAAGGAATAGGATGGGACCGGATCGGGACTGGAATAAATTGGGATGGAATATGCATATTATAGGTTTAGTTTTTATGGACATGGTTTATAGAACTCAAAGAATTTGATTCTCTAGGTGTGGTCAATGTGGTGATTTGCACTGTTTCGCTTTTGCCCGATCCGGCGACGTTTCATGAGGAGCCCAGCCACCGCGGATTTTAGGTTGACAGTTAGTCTTCCTAATAGGGACAAACATAAATACCTCAACAATGAAAAAGGACAATTGAAAACAGAAAATCCTATGTCTTCAGGCTTAGATTTAGCAAACACACGCACTTTTCGTTCCTTCTAAACTTTTCGAGAGTGAATTTGGAATGCAATGGAGACGTAAGCTGGGGGCCAATTATTTATGTTCTGGGAATAGACTGCCTTCGACGAACCGAATTTTCCTGCATCTTCTTTTTTTTATAAAAACCAGTCTTTCTCTTCTTACAGCTTGTTCGAATTCAGCTACTCTAAAATGCAGTTCAAGCTCGCTTTGTTAGCTCTGGCCGGCTGTGCCCTTGCCGCAGACACCACTTCGTTGAGTAAGTATTGCATACCAGATCAAGTGGACGGGATACCGTGATCCCCCGCGCTGATTTGTCGAGATTTCTGATCTGGACTTCCGCGGAAGGTGAAATTTTGGCACTTATAAGCTCCTGACGAGGCAAATCTGCCACGACTAGCTCATATGTGTTAAAGGAACGCCATTCAGCCTCCTCGACCCCAGCGAGGCTGAGTTTCACGTCACAGGTTCTGTCGTCGGTATCGGCTTCTTTTTTTAGAAACCTGATTTTCGACCCCTTTCAAATGCTCTTCGCTTGATTTGTTTTGAAACTCGTGCACGACTAACACCTTTTAGATTCCACCTTGACCTCCACCACCTCGATTTCGGTGCCATCAGGATGCTCGTTCTCCAAGACCTTGACCGCCACCGCTCAATCCGACCTGGACGACCTGTCCTCCTGTTCGGCCATTGAGGGTGACATCTACATCACCGGTGATTTGGGAACTGCTTCCATCGCCAACGTCAAGGCCATTTACGGCTCGCTGTCTGTTTTCAACTGCTCCAACTTGCAGTCTCTGAGAGCAGACTCCCTGACTACCATCACCAAGCAGCTGGAGCTGACCGACTTGTATGTCCTGGACACTCTGTCGTTCGGTTCCCTGGTCTCTGTTGGCTCCATCAACTGGGTCACCCTGCCGGCATTGACCCAGGCAGGTCTGTCTGCAGGTGTTTCTGACTGTCAAAGCATCTACATCTCGGACACTCAGTTGGAGTCTCTGGAGGGTTTCAACCCAATCAACGTCGAGACCTTCAACATCAACAACAACAAGAACTTGGCTTCCATCAACTCGGATATCAAGTCGGTCTCCAACGCTCTGTCTGTTTCTTATAACGGTGACGACACCAACGTGACTTTTGACTCTCTTTCGTGGGCCAACAACATCACGTTCTACTCTGTCTCGTCTATCTCAATGTCCAACATCAGCACCGTCAACTCTTCACTTGGTGTTTTTGAGTCCAACGTTGAGTCTCTCGAGATTCCTACCCTGAAGAAGATCGGCGGTGACCTTTCGATCATCGACAACGACGACTTGTCTGAGATTGACCTCTCTCATTTGCAATCCGTTGGTGGTGGATTTGTCATTGCTAACAACTCGAACTTGGAAACCATCGACGGCTTTGACAGCCTGCAGACCATTGGCGGTGCCGTCATCCTCAAGGGTGAGTTCGACAATGCCACCTTCCCAAAACTGTCTACCGTTAGAGGTGGTTTCGACTTGGAGACCACTGGTAAGGCTGACTGTGACGAGTTCAATTCTCTGGAGAAGAAGGGCGGTATCCAGGGTGACAAGTTTGTCTGCTCTGCTGCCACCGAGTCCTCGTCTTCCATCAACCACTCCAAGACTTCTACCGGCTCTTCCTCTGCCACGTCTTCGGGCTCTAGCGACGAGTCGACCTCTTCTGGAGCTTCCTCTTCCTCCCAAGCCGGTGCCGCTCTCAACACTGTCTCTGTCTTTGGAGTTATGTCTGCCTTGCTCCTTGCATTGCTGTAAACATAGAGAAGCAGAGCTCTTTGCAGTGGACTCTCCTAATGTACGACTCTGAGTACTGTATGCTATTTTAAAAGATTTATTATTAATGTTAATACAATGTATGCTAACATCTAACTAGTTTCATACTTTACGAAAACACGAGGTACACTTCTTTCAAGTTGCTTAATCTATTAGTGCCGACAATTACAATCCCTTGCCGTAATTACCCTTCTCGAAGAAGTCCATGATGAGGTTCACAATGTTCTCCAGGGCGCTCAGCCACTCCTCTAACTGCTGAGCCACCTTCTCCTGGTCAGCACCCAGCTTGGCAAAGAAGTCTGCTCTGTAGGGACACGCCTTCATCGCAAGCTTGAAAACAGGTCTAATAAGCATTGTGTGGTACTTCGTCAATGTCTTGCCGTAGGCGTCCGTGAAAGTCTTGGACAGCTCATCGTTTGGTCTCGAAACGGTCTCTCTCATGGCAACAGCAGTGAACTGCAGGCCTCTGCACAGCCACAACAGGCCCTGAGTAGCGGTCTTCTTTTTGTCGTTCACCTCAGACAGAATCAGATCCTGCAAGGTGCCTGCCTTGTCAGGAGCGGCAAGGAGCTTGGCGCGCACCTTGTTGATATTTCCTGTCATGTCGTTTTGCACAACTGCAAACGCAGACGATCCCAGTAGATCAAACAGTTTCACAAGAGCCTCTGCGGCCTCCAAAAACTCAGAAGTGGCGATCTTGCCGTCCTCGACTGGGACGGCAACAAACGACCTTTTCATCTCATCAAAAAACGTGCTCATGGTGACTGTTGTACAAGTATTTCAAAAATAGAATATGAATATTTTAACGTGTCGTTCGTGTTCGCGGAAAAAAATCAATTTTTCAGGCACACGACATCCAATAATTATTTAATCTCCTTCTTTATGTATTTCTGCAGGTGTGCAGGAGGCACCGGTGGCCATTCTCCCGCTCTCTTCAGCTTGAGCTTGTCTGCGTACTTGAGGTTGCTCATCTTGGCCTCCCACTCGGCAGCCTCCTTTTGCAAACGTTCCTCGGCTTGAGCCAACGACTTCTGCTGCTCTTCGAATTCAGCCTTCTTCTTAGCAATAAATTCAGCAATACGCTGTTTCTTGGCCGCCTCTAACTTTTCCTTGGCCTCGGCAGCCTTCTTGTCGTATTCGTCCCACAAAGCCTTCTCCTTTTGGCCAACAAACTCCTTGTAGTCTGGAATCAAACGCGCCAATCTTTGCTTGATTTTAAGAGCCTCTTCGTGCTCCTTCTTGGCATTGGCAATCAGTTTCTGCTTCATTTCCTCATAAACCTCCATCTCGCGTCCCTTCTGCACCTCGGCATCCGCTTGTAACATAGGAAGCTCGTATCTGCGCTGTGCTCTTTCAAGATAGTCAAATCTCTTGGCAGTGGCTTCAATGCGCTCTTCAAGGGCCTTTCTATCTTGCTCGAGCTTCTCGATTTGCATTTTTTGAAGCTTTCTTCCATCAAGGTTCTCGATGTCGTCCATGTCCACCTTAATGATACCCTTAGCGTTGATCTCGTTCAACAGTTTCTTTTTCTCCGCCTGTTGAATGGCCTCTAACTCCTTCCGGCGTTTCTCTTCCAGTCTCTTGGCTGTCTCTTGCTCAATTCTTTCCTGCTCAGCCTTCTTGACGGCAGCCAGCTTCTCGTATCTGGCCTTCGTGGCAGCTTCCTCATCACGACGCTTGATCTCGGCCACCTCCTTCATTCTATTCTCTAGAAGCAGAGCACGGTCCAGCACCTCTTGTCTCTCCTCAGCAAACTCGGCATTCGCACGCATGCTGACTTTTTGCTTCAAGGTTTTTTCGTTCTCAGAAGCCAATGGGTCAATGAGTCTGACAGACTCTCTCAGAGTATTTGCAAGAGAAGAAAGCTGCGTTCTAATAATTTCCGTAGGAGTGTACTGGACTTTGCTCGACATGTTGAGAGGAATCGAGCTAAGCAAGGAGTTCTCCAAAGTGTCAGTCTTGAACGACACAACCTTGGCTTCGTGGTCAATCTTGACAGAAAGCAGGTTGTTGGAGGCTGCTGCAAGAAGTCGGCTCTCGATCTCTATTGGTGAGAGCTTGAACTGGCCCTCAAACGTGGACAGCTTCACTAGGAAGTCCAGCTTGACAGTCTCGTAAACTTCTGAAATTTGCTCAAAAAGCTTGTCCAAGATGACACCAGTCAGCGGCTTGATGTACATGTGGAATTCTTTGTTGGACTCGATAAAAGCAAATATGTCCTTGGCTTGCGAAGCAAAAGAGATCGGATGCAAGTCTTTCTCCATCAACTCATACAACTTGGCCAGTGAAGGATCCACAATGCTCAAAACGTTTCTAGAAGCCACCTGGGTCAACAAAGACTCCCTAGTAGGCACCTTGGAGAGGTTAAGCAACATAGAAAGTCTGTTGTCTTTTCTCTTGGCAAAGTCGTCCACTTTAGAGGACGAAGTCACTGGAACTGACAGAACAGACAGCAATTGCAAGGATGCGTAGTGCTTGAGCTCTTCGTCGGTCGCAATCGGAGACTGCACAAACAGGGAAAAGAACTTCTGTCTGGCAGCAGCATGGAACAACCGGTTGTCGCTCACGTTGAAGATTTTGGCCAAGTTGTCGTAATAGTTCACCATCATGCTTGGTTTCGGCTGTCTTTTCGATATCGTCATCAAAGTGTGCACATCCTCGACCGTACGGAAAGACTCCTGCCAGAGCTCTAGACGAACGGAAACGTTCAACTGGTTGAATCTCGTCTCTAGATATCTCTGAAGAGTGTCTGGGTCTGACAGATCAATTGGGTTCTCGATCTGATGTTTGACAACAGATTTTTGCGTCACCGTTTGCAAATGGGTCCTCAGTATATCGCAAAGACGTTTGAACTCCGTCTTTCTGTTGTACTTGACACAGAAACCAAATGCTTGTGAAACAACCGTAGCATAGCCAACTTCCAGCTTGCTATTGTTTCTCAAGATATCCAAAACAGTTCTGTACGCTTCCCATAAGAATTTCAGCCATGGGACAACAAGCTCTCTGTCGGAACGGTCTTTGGTATCATCCGTGGAAACAATGGACATTAGCACGTCTTCCGGAGAAACAACAATTTGTCTGTTTTCGTCATCCTCGTCCTCATCGTCAGCTTCCAATTGAGCAGCCTCCGCCTCCAAAGTGGCCGCCACGTCGTTAGCCTTCAGTTGTGCATCATTCAATTTGGCTTCTGCTTTCTCCAAGAATTTCTTCACCACGGTCTCCACAGACTCCAGGCCAGAGTCGTTGCCTTGGACGTTTTTCTTATACTGATGCAATCCGTCCTTCACGAGCTTTCCGCTTCTCAGATCCACGCCCAGCTCAACAAACAACAATGCAATAGGTTCCAGGTCCAATGGTGCAACGGATCTGATGCGCTTGGACGTGATGAAGTCGTACAGAGTCTGCAGAGCTGCCTCTTTCTGATCAACAGCAATGAGGTCCTCTGCACGCCTCAGCGTGTTTTCAGGCCGGATGTTATACGACGGAGCCATTAAACAGTATTAAAGGTGTCGGTCCTTTTTTTTTTTGGAAAATTTTACCAACTTTCAAGACATATCGGTTTACCCGGCCTGCATCAGCAAGGCTATCTGGAATTTACGTATGGAGGCTCAATGCAGATATAAAACAGCTCGGTTGCGCTTTCGAAAACTACGCAAACTCCCGTATTCAATCACTTGAATTATGAGCGGGCTGCTATACAAGGTGTTGCTGAAAAAGGTGAGTGTTCTGTCTTCATCAGAGACTCTAACTTCTAGACAGGATTATCAGACCTAGTTCATGTGGGACCCTATGAGGATCCTTATAACGAGATAATCCCGCCTAACGAGCTGAAGTTCTGGCAGCGTAAGGGAGCAAAAAGACGGAAGAACATACCATCGCAGTACACACCCCGTGACCGCAAGACCCTAAAGTCAGTTAGAGATAGAGCATATCACCTGGACCAATGCTTTAGCGTGGCAGGCATCAAATTTGGATACGGAGCAATCATAGGGTTCATACCAATGGTTGGCGACTTGATCAATTTGTTTTTTTCGCTAGTCCTTATTAGGAAAGCCAAAGAAATCGAGGGCGGGTTGCCAGACACGGTAGCAATCAAAATGGCCTTCAACGTCTTGATAGACTTTTTGATAGGTCTGATTCCATTTGTCGGCGACTTCATCAATATCGCTTACAAGGCGAACACAAGAAACTTTCAATTGCTGGACGAGCATCTCGTCAAGAAGTACAGTATCGCGTTGAGCCAAGTACCTGAGCACCAATGATATCCAAGCGGACGATGTAGTATTAGTTATGTCAATTTTATGTTTCTGAAAAATTGCACGCTCTTTTTCACGTCAAACACGGGCGGTTTATCGTCGTAGTATTCTGACTTCGGCAAGTATCTAAGCAGGTTGTAGATCTCATCTCGCACAGCGAATGGCTCAATTTCAGGCATTTCAATTTCCTTCAACTTAATTTCGGCAACGTTGTCGAGCGCCTCTTCTTTTCCTGTCAATGTATACTCATCCAGCAGCTTGATTGCATTGAATTCACCAAAAGATTTTGACAAAAATTGGAACTCGTTGCTGTCAGGGAAAGCTTCTCTATACCGTTTCTCGAGCGTGCGGATTGAATCGGTGTCTCCAAATTCCAGTTCAATCCGATAGAAACGTCGGTACACTTTCTCCAGAGTTGAGCGTTTGTCTTTGAAATTTTCGATGGACTGTTCCAACAGTTTCTTGGAGTTGCCCAGATCGTTCATCGAAAGCAAAAAGTTTAAGTACGTCTCAACAAAAGCATAGTCCTTTCCAAAATACTTCATGGCAAGCTCAAAACACCGCAAGGCAATCTTCAGATCGCTATTCTGGTGCTCCATCATTGCATAATCGACAAAAATGTGCCATGTGACACCTTTGAATTTTCGTGCAACAGAAAAAATGCTACGCGCTTCCTTCATGCCTGCTGCTCGGCGACAAGCCTTCATGAGCAACGAATACACACACGTGATGCACTGGCCAAGTGTGGCTTTTGTTTTCTCATTTTCCTCGCTGTCATAGTGTTTTGTCAGCCTATCAATAAGTCTATTCCAGGACTCTTTGATTTTTTCAATATCGCTGGAGCTTTCGTACTGGCCAGAGACCAAAAGAACTAAACTTATACTTTCTGGATTCAGAACCAAAGCATGGCCTAGCACCTCCATACCCTGCTCAGATTTACCGCTAGCAAACAAGTACACAGCGTAGTTGTACCACACTTCTGGCTGGAATCGCAGATACTGGGTAGACAGTCTGTACACGAAGTTGACTCTCTTTTCCACTGATTCTTGAGGTAAATTGAGCTTGTTGCTGCGCTCCCATGCAATCCAACGTTTCCAGTGTTCAAGCTGGTTGCGGCTGTTTTTTGCCTCGTCCGATGGACGCAAATAAGCGGTGAGGTTTATAAGCTCTTGATTCAAAGGACGTAGCTTCATGTATTCTTGCGATTTCTCGTTGATGTGACGCCTGGCGTTCACCTGGTCCGTTTCGTTTTCAAAGTCCAGATACTTTCTCCAATTTTGGTCTAGTTGGCGAAGAGGAGTGCCGATGAGCTTTCTATATAAAGATCTAAGGTGCGCATTTTTGGATGACTGCTCGATACTCGAAACGGGGTTCCACTCGTTCAGAAAACGGAAGTACTCGTCCCATATTTCCTGGCCGTTGATGAAGTCCAATCCCATGTTGTCAATGGCAAAGTCATAGGCTTTCATTACCACTGCCCTGGCCTGTTCTCCTCCAGTAACGATATCGTTCACTTTCCTCACGTACCTCAGGTACACTTTCCACAGCTCAACGTCAAACACCTTGGTGAGACATCTGGAAAATAGCGCCTCCACTTTGGCGTCGTCGTTCTTGGCCATTTCGTGTTCGATGTACTCTTTCCAAACCTCACCGTCGTTGAAGAACACCTTGAGATACGCCTCAAACGTCTCTACTGATGGGGAATCATGAACAAGCTTCAGCCAGCGGGGTCTATCAAGAGACTCCGCAAGAGACTCGATGGTCACAGGATCGTCCAATTTCCGTCTCTTGGTGTCCATACTAGTAACAAATATTTATAAAAAATTTAAAATCAGCCTAAATGTCCCTTCATCTCTGGGGTGCACCGTTCGACGCAGAATCTCTGGCGGCGGCGAATTTTGTTGCTGAAAATTGCAAGAACATTGAAATTGAACTACTGTACGACTCCAACTACTTTCTGTCGCCAAATGGCAAATTACCGGTTCTTCTAGATGGAGATCTTACCTTGGAAGGTTACAAAGAGATCGTCAACCATCTGATCAACAAACACAACCTACTTGCTTGTTCGGTGGAGCAGAAGCTGCTAGACCAAGGCCTCATAGAACATCTGCTCAGTAACCTCGAGGTGGTCAGCTGCTACAACTTCTTTCTTAACAAAGACAATTTCGAAGGCTACACTAGAGGCGTTTTCAAAAATATACTGCCCTTTCCATTCCAATATATGCCACCCCTCAACCTCAAAGCTCGTGCTGCGGCTATTTGCGAAACCGCAGGCATATCGTCAACAGAAGAGTCAAACCAACTACGTCAGCTTAAGGAGCGAGAAAAAACTTTAAGAGAAACTCCGACTTTGTCGAACTTTGACCAATCTCAAAGAAATGCCTCTCTCAAAGTGGTCCTTGACCAGATGGACATTCTCACCAACATGAGATGCGTATCGCTATTGGAAGAGACGATCAAGCTGGTGAAAGATCTTGGGCTACCTAAATCGTACCCCTCGTCCATTCTGTTTGATGCATACATCCAGTGCAATACTGATCCCAACCTGAAGACCGACTTTGTCCTAAAATATCTGAAATCCTCGCACCCAGACCTCTTGCAGTCCTATCAAGATATACAGCCACAGCCTGTCTCTTTTGCCACTGCAGTCCAGTCCCTGGCACGCAACTACCTCTGATTATTGCTCCGGCTTGTGAATTCCCGCGTATACGTTATAATACACAACAGTCCCATCGCGATCACAAATTCCTAGAATAATCTTTTCCACTCCTAGACTCTCGAAGATCTGGTCCAAGCGTTGCATAGTCAGGTGGTCATCGACGAGCACCGGGAACACACATTCCAGCGTGTTGTCTGGGGTTGTCCCAAAGAGAGCATCAATACCATTTTTTGAGACTTCCTCCACATTGGTCCAGAGATGGTAATGTACAAGGTTCAGTTTGACCTTCTCCATCTAAGGAAAAATTAAATTTAAAAAAAATCAAACACTTAGAAACAGCCCAGTGTCAATGAACTCTTGGAATCCTGTCCCGCGCGCGCTGGGACAAACCAAGCAGCATTTGCTGCGACGACGGCAGATGGTGGGTTCATCTCAGCAGGTGCGGCCCATCCAACAGTTGAAACTGCGCAAAGTGCGCCAGAAAAGCCGCGGTCTTCTCATCTGGCTCTATTCCATCTCGCTGCTGACGTTCGGCATTTCGTTTCTCCTTCTGAACTCGCTCGTGCCTATAGATGTCATTTTGCGCTCGCTCACCAGCTCCATCATCGCATTCAACACTCTTGTCATTGTCTGTGCTTGTGCGCTGTTTCTACTGCTAAGTGCCATTATCTACATAGTTCGCATTCTCATCATCAAACGGCACTTGCAGGACATCCCAAAACCATACATGCCCATCACCGAGAAAGACATTGGCAAACGAGAAGCCAACTACATCGCCCAACAAATTGCACGGACTAAGGAGATCAAAAAATTGGCCGGCCCTCAGGGCCCCCTGGATCATGCTGGACTGCACTGCGGCCAGAGCTCGGTGGACATCCCGCTACCGGACAATCTGATATACGAGAACGTGGTGTGCGCCATTGGCGAAGATATAAAATACCGACACGCGCTCCGCCTAACTAGCACTTTTCAGATCAAAGTCGAGCCCAATCAGACGCTACGGGATATTATATCCACCGTCATACGGAGAACAAATGTTTCTGCTCGCGACTCGGATCTATTGGCGGAATTTTTAGCGCATTATGAGAAGCTAAGGTTCAGTGGGCAGCCAATCACGAAGGCTGAATTTCTCACGTTCCTTCGCTTATGGGATAACACAAGGACGATACTGAGAAGACAGCTGTAGCACAACTGTAGCCAAACGCAAGTACATATATATAGATATTTCCCTAATTCGACATTCGGCTTTCATCTAGTCAAAAACCAAACTTCCTGACGGGAGTATTAATCTTGGAGACGGTTCATATAGTATATGGCAACGGAAAGACGGGATATCGTCTGTCTGTCGTGGCAATGTCTCCTGTATATATTTTTTGATTCAATTGTAAATTTTTCTCTGATTTTTTTTTATATACACAATCTGCCAACACAGAAGTACGGGCCATTAAGCAAACACGTTCTCCTGGCCGGCCTCCAACGCAGTCTCCGTTTTGTCAAACAGAGTGAAGTGCAGCGGCCGGTGAAGCTCGTGGTAGAAGGGAATTGGATTATCCAGTTTGAGATCAAACTCAAAGTCCTCGGTCCACGCATTTGCAATAAACGAGTAATTCCATGTATCGATGTCTGGCACCAGGAAGTATCCTTTTAATTTGTCCGTCAAAATCAGCGGCGTCTTCTTCCTGAATTCCGGCGAGTAGCCTGGAGTAACCAGCATCGATCCAAGAGCGTCCATGTGTGACTGGCCCCATTGATAGCCATCTGGAGTCAGAGAAACACTGGAGAGCGTGACGGAGCCAGGGGTGAATGCAACGTTAATGACGCTTGACATGGCGTTCCAATTAAATTGTGAGCTGAGTTTGCAATGAGTCAGCAGCTCCATGCAGTCATCGCCCTCGCTCGACTTGCCGGCAGGAACGGTATGGATCCAGCCAAGCGGCTCGAGACCCTCTAGATATGGCGAACTTGGTAGCGAGGAGGGAAGCTCCACCCGATGGTTGTCGCCAACCTGCGGAACGACAACCAGGCTAATGATCTCCTTCACCTGCGGATTGTCGGCCGGCGAGCGCCCAAACATGTACGCGGCAACCTGCGTACGCACGTCTCCCATCTTGATGAACTTGGAGAGGATGTTTTTTGGCATGACATAAGCATAGCTGTCGGTATCAGCAAAGTCGCCCGACGAAACGAAAACCTTCTTTGCACGTAAGTGGAGACTGCCGCTGGCAATGGCGCGGAGCCGCCAGTCTGCCCGCGACTCGAACTTTGCCTGTTCGTGGTTTGTGGTGGTGACTGTGGTAATTTTCTCACCATGAACATTGGTGGTTTCTGTTTTCACCGCAGTCAGCTGTGAAGCCGGCTCCGCAGTGCCCTCTATGTCTGCAACACTCTGCTGTTTGGCCGAAGGAGCACGGATGTCCTGTCCAAGAATGATGTCTCTGATCTCTGTGTCAGTGAGCGAGTTTATGTCGACGTTATATTTGGAAGCATAGTCGCTCAAAATCAGGTCTGCCAGCTGCGTTTCCACATTGCGCCACTGTTCGTCGCTGAGCGATGGCCACAAATGGTGAGGCTTGGTCTCAATAGAGGAGTCCGGGCGCAGGATCAGCTTTGTGCGCTCCTTATTTATTTCCAGACCGCGCATGATGACAACGAGTCGGTTGAACGCTGTGAACGACGAGCATGTCTTCATCCAGTCGTCGTAAATGTTGAAGAGCACCATCTGCGGCTCCTTGGCCATATTGACAATGTCCAGCAGCTTGTCGATCTTGAGAGCCGCTCCGAACGGCAGATGCAGCTCCGAGGGCCGGATTTGGATATTAGGAAAGTCCAGCATGTGCACCTCCAAAGGATCCTGGATGCCCTTTCTGGTGATGATGAGCTGTTTGGGCTGTTCTTCGCGCGGAAGCGAGCGGACCAGAGCAGCAACTTCCTCTGCAGACTTCCATTTGGACAGCTGTGTCCGTCTTTTCTGGCCCTGGAACGCAGAGCTGTGGATGATTTTGAGGAACAGCTGGCCTGTCCTAGGGTTCAGGATGAAAAGCGCTCCATTGAGACACTTGACGGCCGTATTGCCTTCAAAAGTGCTGTGTGTGACCACTCGATACACGTTGACGTCGTCCACAAAGAATTTGTTCTCGTTGTTGAACAGCTCTGCGTAATTGCTCGACGACAAAAATGCCTCCTGCGGCTGGGCCTGGTACAATTGCAGTCCTTTGCGGATTCTCTCGCGAAGAACGTACAAAGCAGGATTCATTTTCATGATGGTTTTCATGGCGTTTTGGATCAGCGGCTTCAGCTCTGGGAACCAGTTTCCGTACGCATCGTACATGTTGTACGCCAGATCAACGGCAATAAGCAATCCCGTGGGGCTTGGATACGTGCTCGTGGCATCGCTCGTGTAATCCAGGAACTTGGCTCTGGCGTACCTCGAGATATCGTGGGAGTCGTAGTCTCCGTACCTCAGCTGCACATCCAGCCAGAACTTGTCTGACTTGACGGCGTTCATCTGGTCATTTGTGTCAAACAGCAACGATGGCCGGCTGCATGGCCATTGGAAAGAGCTTGTGAGAAGAATATCGGCCGTCGACGAGTTCATCTTGTACGACTTTCTTGGATGGATGGCCATTTTCTCAACGCTGTCAATTTGCAGTTCGTCGAGCTGCGAGTCGAGCACCTGGCAAAGGTCCACGACAATACTCTCGTGAATCTTTTGCCACAAATGCGCGCGGAATATCTGAATAAGCGATATTTTCAACGTAGGAATCTTTCCATGGAGGAAAATACCAGTGAGATCCAGCTGGACCAGGAAACCAACATACACGTTTGCTCTGTTGATGGTTGGTGACCACCACAGCGTGAACCGACGGTTCGGGATTTGAGACAACCCGGAACGCTGTGCATTGGTGAGTTTCTTGAACTTGAGCGTATCCTCAAACCCAGACGCTTTCTCCCAGAAAAGACCTTCCCAGGACTCAAATCCGGTACCTTTGAACAAGGTGTGCTCCAGAATCGTTTCTATGCCACCAAGAGCCTGTATAACATCTGATCTGTACGCATTTAAATTCCACAGCTTACCGTCGTGGCGGTCGGATATCCACCAGAACGGATTGCTTCGAGACACGGAAAACTGCTTGAACTCCTTTCTGACTCTGAACCCTTTATCAATTGCCAGTGTCTGTCGGTCTTTCTGAAACAAGGTACTGATTCGCGGAATGCCACGGTCCCAGTTTTCTTCCAGGTCCTCGTAGGTGAGTCTACGCCGCTGTTGCTCGGCCTCCGCCCGTTTAATCGCAAACTCTGACCATACCCTTTGCGAGTCCAAAAACTCGTTCTCCCACGTCGTGATGTATCTGTATATTGTCGGAATGAGACGATCGTCGTCGTGGGTCAGTCCAGACCGGAAATGCGTGATTCCAGTGTCGGTCTGCTTGGACCAGCGCAAGTCGGAGGCAGGAATTAAAATATGCGAAGCACTCAACATGCCCAATCCGCCAAGCTCTTTCGGCGTGTAGAAGACGGCCGGCGGGAACCGGGACGGCATCTTGGAGTTGAGTCCAAGCTTGATCCGGGTCTGGATCCGGGTCTCGTTCTTGACGATCGCATTGAGCAGCGACTCAGTCGAAATTACAGCCTCACGGAAATAGGCAAACATGGAGAGCAGCGTCGTGTTCCATTTGCTGGCCACTTTCGTAAACGTGGCCGAGCCAGACGTCATCAGGATCTGCCGCACCCTATTATTGAATTCCTCCACAGACTCCTGCGAAACTTGCAAGTACGCCTTGGCCACGGTTTCCTTGCTAGTTTCATCGTACAGGTCCCACACCCCTTCCTTGGAGCTCGTGTCTTCCAACATGCGCTCCTTAGGAATGATCCGGACGTCGAACCCGCACATCGTGAAAAGAATATTCGCATTATCTTTGGAATACACCGATGCCAACGTATCCTCCCAGTCTATCGAAACAATCGAGTCTGGAACACGGCCCTGCATCTCCCAGAAAACGGCACGTCCCAGATGGACGTCGTGCCGCATGAGTTTCATTCGCGAGTCACGCGGCCAGCACCGCCGGTTGTTGTAGCCAACAATGTGCTCAAAGTTCGGGTCTGGGTTCTCTGCCAAAAACTCCTGGATCAGCTCGTCTGCCTCGCTTTGCGAGAAGCGGAAGAAAATATGCACCTTGTCGACGTACCGCGAATAAATTCTTATCGGCGACTTGCACTGCGTCTGGATATCTGGGAACTCCAAGAAGTCGTTTGGCCGCTGAGGCGGGCCAGCTATCTCGGACGCTCTCTCCAGCCCCAGAAGCAGAAGGTCCACAACCAGGCCGTAGTATTGAAAGATGAATGACGAGAACTGCAGGCCACGGATCAGGCCGTACTGGTTCACGTGATTCATGTCCTTAAAGGTGATTCCAACATTGTTTTTGGCAGTAAGGTAGTCCGCAATACTAGAGTCGACTATCAGTCGGAGAAGCTGGTTCAGCAGCGTAAAGTCGACTTTCTCGGCCAGCTTGTTCAAATTCGTCTGCAAAAGCACATTGCACTGGCCTTCGGAAACGTCCCAAACGTTGTGCAAATTGGCAATTCCCTGACACCACTTGTACACCAGCAGCGGCGGGATCTCGTTGTCGCTAGGCTTGACCCAATTCGGGAATAGGCCACGCTTATCTGCCTCGTACCACAGATACTGGTCGAGATAAGCGTCCACAATTTTTTCTAAAGGCTCAACGTCGTAGACAGGAACGATGTGGCTGTAGTAGTCCATCATCTCCAGAGTGACCTCTTTGAAATTACGTTGTGTCAAAATAGTTTTTTTGATGTTGGCCAAAAACTCGTGCGGATTGTCGTATGCCTGTTCAATAAGAGCGAGCTCCTCTCGTTCTTGCGAATTGAGCCGGCCCTTCGCATTGTAGGTCTCCTTCAAGTTTTCCAAGGCAAGAACAAGAATCTTGGTGTCGTGCTTGTAGTTGACCGGAGGAAATGGTATTGGAACAAACTTGCGACTCTCAAGCCAATGGACCATCGTCATATAGATTGAGACTCCTTCCTGAGGCGTCACGTATGGACCTTCCTTCTGGAAATTCTGCTGCCTTTCCTGCTCGTTTTTCACCCAGAGTCTTGTCAATCTCCCCAGATTCTTTTTGGCAACGGCCTTGTCTACAGCCGCACCAGCCTTTATCCGTTGACGGTTGTAATGTGCAACAGAGATCCAACCGTCGGCCTTTGCTTTCACATATCGCTCAATGATTTTTTTAATGGGCTCTGGCATCCCTGGAACATTCCAAGGGATGTTTGCTTTCCAGCATCTCCAGGCCTCGCTCAAATGCTGCAAGATCGCCTTGCTTTTATTTTGCTTGATTCCTTCCGGAATCATGTCCAAAATGTCGTGTAAAACGGCAGCACGCAATTCCAGGTCGTAGTAGGAGTCCACGCGCTGCTTTGTGATCGTCTTGGCCACCTCCTTGCTCTGTCTGCCCTCAAACTGACGAGCAAGTAGATTTCCCAGCCATCTCTCTAGAAGCGGAACTATTCCGCGCATAAAAAAGATCCAAACACGCCAGGCTGGCTGCCAAAATCCGCATCCCGGGCCTTTGCCGATCACAGCATTAAAGCGGTAATAAACCACATGTTTCAGGTCCTTGCACGCTCTGATCTGGTGCATCACCTTATATTTGTATCTGTAAATGCCTGTCAGCTGACCCAGATGGTTCAGCGCATAGTAGATACCGTCAGCCAACTGGAATGCATCCACGTTTCCAAGTCTATATTGCACGTGGGCATCGACAATGAGCTTGACAACTCTCAAGATCTCTCTTATCAAATGGAAAGCGTTACCAAAACGTGACTTTTTGCGCTCCTTGGTGGTCAGCGTCTTGGTAGGCTTGAGGTTGAAATTGTAGTCCAAATGCAGATACGTAAGTCCTCGACGGTGGATCATCAAATTGAGCATGTTGTATCCCTGGCGACACACCTGCAGTCCTGCCTCCACCCAGTCGATAGTGGTCTGGTGGAAAAATTTGGTATTTTTCAGCTCTTTTAGCAACTTGGCCTTCGCCTGCGTACTTGGCACAGTCTTGTGCAATTCATTGGCCACATGAGTTTTCAAAAGCCTCTGATACGAAACACGCACCTTAACCGGGACATCTCGTGGTGCATGCTGCAAATACCAGCTCTTGACCAACGCCACGTCTTCAGCCCGAACCGTACGGCCGCTGCGTTTGTTGAAGGGATACGGTGCCCACAACAGCTCTATGGCCTCGTACGTATTTTCAGGCTCTAGGTGTTGGTCCTCCATGAACGGCTGAACGTCAATTTCAAGTTCTGTGTCCTCTTCAAAATCGGTATCATGAGTTACTTCCTTCTTAGGAGTCATTGGGTTGTAATTAGATTGAAATTGGAAAGCAGGCAGTTCTGGATCCTCCTTGCGGCTGAATACAACGCTGTTGTGATGGTACCAAGCAAGCTGGACACCCCTGACCGCAGAGTTGTAAAGATGGGGAAACGCGACGCGATACTCGGACTTGATAGGGTTTCGGAAGATGATTCTGTCGAGACTGTTGAACTCATTGAAATCTTCGTGTTCAGGGTCAACGTCTTTTTGTAGCGGCTCGAACTTGGGTCCTCCAGGAAGGGCCACATTCAACGCCTTCGCTGTGAAGAAAGACTCGTTGTCGAATAAATAGTGGAAATTCGGGTCAAAAATATCGTCCACTAATGGCGTCGAAAGCCGGTATAAAGTGGCCATGATATCCAAATCTAGTCTCCAGGACCGGTAGGAAGGCCCATTAACTCGCGACCGATCACCCACCAACGGTTTTTCGTCATAAAACCAGTCGGCAACGGGCAAATCCTCGACATCCTGGAGTTCCATCTGTATGGCGTCCAACGGCTCCAGGTCCTCGATATTCTCGCTAAAATTTATTGGTGGCTCTTCGTCGTCAAATACAGGAAACTTGATCCGCTTGAAATGTCGTCTGTCCTTCTTTTCACGACGCATCTGTAACCACATCGTAGCCCATTGTGCAATATAAACAGGCTCAATCACGCGCGGGATCTCGTCCACAAAAGTAATAGCTCCACTCTGGTGATATATAACTCGCACCTCTTTCACTGCCTCCCAAGGCTGGGGCATGTTTTCCAGTAGCTTGAGAACTGCATGAGGCATATATTTCAAAGAGCCCAGTATGGATCTCTTTTCTTGAGAGAACTTCTTTGACGACAAATCTCCCTGGTCATTGAGAATCTTTCGCAGATGCTCCTTAGGCATTTCAATCTTGCGCGTTTGAACAACGCCGTGCGATTTTAGGGTACTTTCCCTAAACCGCCGTTTTTGCAGTTGTAACCAGCTACGGGCTCTAGTCTCCAATTCCTTTTCACGAGGCTCTTTCTTTGAGGAATTTATAGCTCCTGGGACACCTGGAGGTGGAGGCGGCAGCGTCCTTGTAGTTTTTAGGCCAGGCGGAGGCGGAGGGACCTTAGTACCATTCTTGGGCTTTTTGGCAGGTGGCGCTCCTGAACCCCCTCTCGAAAGTCCTGGAGGCGGTCCAGTGGGAGGTGGAGGATATACCACCTTCTTGTTTTCAGATGACTTTTCGTCCGTCCGTTTTGGAGGTTTCGGTGGCGGTTTAGGCGGCATAACAAAACGGCAAAATATCGGAAACTTTTGATATGAAAAATAATACAAAAAAATAATACAAAAATAAAATTAAAAAAATATTATTATGCACAGCCAGAGACGTAGGTGGTGGGTATATATAATTAAGGGAGCGAAGGTAGAGCCATCATCCGTTCCTATTCAGATTGACTCGAGCTTCTCTTGCAATGGATCTGGCTTCCTCTATTTCATGAGAAGTACCGTGTGTCATTTCGGATGCATAGTCATAAGCAGCCTGCCAATTTTGATGGTGCAGTTCGTATCTTGCTAGCCAAAGGCGAGCCTTGGTAGTTTCTGTGGTGACTCCCTCGTTGACTTCTTCGTCCAAGCAAAGTTTCATGTACACAGCAGCATTCTGATCGTCTTTGATGGACTGGTACAGGGTTGCCAATTTGTAAAATATCACAGGGTCGTACTCGCTCGACACAGATAGGGCTTTCTTATACGCCTTGATTGAATCCTCGTACTCGCCCAATTTTTCGCTGCAGTTGCCAACCGCTTGCCACATCCGCTTATCAAGAGGTTTGAGTGCACATGCTCGTTGGTAGTAGTAAAGACTGTACAAATGCATATCCAGCACCTCGTATGCCTGGCCAAGACCGTACCAAGCACGAAAATCTTTGTTATTTGTGTCCACGGCACGTCTATAGCTCTCTATGGCTGCGTGGGAGTTCTTAAGCTCAACAAATTCGTGGCCCATGAGAGTCCAGGCACTGAGACAGTTTCTGTTCAGCGCCAAAGCTCTCTTATAGTACATGATGGCTTTTTGGTGATCAAACTTGAGCGAGTAGTAATTGGCAAGAATGCAACATGTCTCAGGTCTAAAATTGTCGATCTGAGACGCAAACTGAGCTAAAAACGCCAGCTTGGATTTTTTTTCCATCACGTACAAAATGTTGGAGTATGTGTCCATGTCGTCTAGTCTGAGCGGATCATTTTCCAGAACATCATCGAATATGTTCTCAGCAGCGACATAGTCAAGAGCATTATAGGAAATGAGGGCTTTTTGGATCTTCAGGTAGCTAAATTTAGGGAAAATGTCTAGCAAATAAGACAGGTCTTCATAAAGCTCATTGAACTGCTGGAAAAATTCCTGGCTGATGGTGATCTTGAAAAAGCGCAGCATTACGTGGTACAGCCTGTTGTTCATGAATTTGGCATTCTTGGAGAATTTATTAAGCACGTTCAACGCCTCTCCAAAACTCGCAAGGTTGGCAATAAGCTCAGACCAGCAGGACCAGTTGAAAGGATAAATAGTGAGAGACTTGTAGAAACATTCCTGGGCTGCTGCGTTGTCCTTCAACTTGGCTGCAACAAGTCCATTGAGGAAAAGTAAAAAAGGGTCTTCCAATTGCCCCCTTGTGCTTTGCTTACCGTAATTTTCCAGTTCCTTTGATATCTCCGTCAATTTTTGGTTTTGAACCTTCCCGTCCTGCTGCCCTAACACCCCTCCAGTTTCGTCATACTTGGTCTTCTCCCCGCTTAAATACAGGGCATAGAGTTTCAAAAATAAACCCCGGGGGCTGGTACAGTCTTTCAGCACATGAGCACAGCGATCAAACTCCTTAAAACTAAAATATGACGCCGCCATCAGTAGTTTGTCCTGCTCAGTGAACTCTAGAAACTCCTCCTGAGAGTGTTGAGGGAGAAACGAGAAGGGGGGCCTTTGTTGTGATTGTTGAAACACGGCCACTTTCTGCTCGTTTGTGAGTGGACACAAGCCGTTGAGGGCCTCGCTCGACCATTTGGCACCATGGTACAGATGAAGCGACTGCAAGACTTTGGAACTCTCGATGAGCGCGAATCGGAGCTGTAGTTGTTGATCAAAATCCATAAACAAAAGTGAGAAAATTAGTTACTGGTGTAGAGGTGCGGTGGATGTCTGTGGAAACAACGATCCGAGTTTGTTAGTGCAGCGGGTGCAGCCAGGTCAAGAGCCAGTTTTTTCTTTACCCGAGCCAACAATTAGTCTCGGAAGTATTGCGTAAAAGAATTCCACCTTTGCAGGGGTCACGAAAGGTCTAGACAATCACCGCATCCCACATGGGGGAAGTGGGCCGCCACCGGAATTCATCTTGCAGCGCTCACTTTTACCCGTTCTTGGGTCACAGCAATGAATAATGGGTGTGTTGGTTCCATTGATGGGGCTAGGCAGCTGGTATCAGCTGTATCCCTGGGGTAAGGAGCACAGATGGGCACCCAGGCGGTTTGGAGCAAGCGATAGCAGCCCCAGAGAGTCGATATAATTGTTGCACTGCCCCGTATGCATTATGCAACGCCTGAAAACAATAACAAATGATGCTCCCAGGTTCAGAAAAATGTGGTCTCATTTTCCCAATTGGCATTTTTGACGCACAATATTGGTGCTGATTCTGCATATGTCGCGTGTGCGCCGGCAGGTAGACTAAGCTCAGAGCCCATTCAACAGCCAGCCCCATATTCTATAAAAAGGCATCCTGCGCCGCTAACAAACCCAAGCTCTCGGGATGTCGCAAGTTATGCCAGAGTTCACTTGGATGGACGATTTCCAGTACGATTTTGAGTCGCACCGGAACTCGCTGAGCAGTGTCGGAAGCTATGAACCTGACATGTTCGAAGTTCCAGATGTGATGGACGTGGCTCCTTCCTCTTCGCCTACCACCTCGCCCGAAGAGGAGACGCCAGAGCTCGCTACCACAACAAAGACCCGTCGTCGCAGAAAAAGCACTACTGGCCGGTCGAAAAAGCCGATGACAGTAACACAGCGGAAGGCCCATAATAAAATCGAGCGCAAGTACCGACTCAACATCAATTCTAAGATCGCAAATTTACAGAAACTGGTTCCCTGGATGAGCAACGAGATCGTTGCTTTTGAGATTGACGCCGCGGGTCCGGACCATCTCCAAAGCCATGCGCTCGGTGGGAGGAAACTGAACAAATCGATGATTCTCGACATAGTCACCAAATACATTGAGCACCTTAAATCCGACAACGAATTCCTCAGGAAGCGGGTTTCCGAGCTAGAAGGACACAACACAGACACTGATAACAACACATAGCTAATATCGAGCTGCCTGAGGAGGATACTACCACACCTGACACCTCGTATATAAAACTTATTTTAAGACACACACACATTCATAATATTTGATACCATTCTCAGACATTGTACATCCGGACACCAATAACCACCATTTTATTTCTAGATGGAATCAAGCAAAACGAAGTTTGGAAGTTTGACTTACATCCGGAAGCCCAGGAAGCTTAGTTCGCGGGTCCCGTACGAGGATACGTTGCTGGGGCCGTCGCCCGGTGCTTCGAAACCCCGTCGAAAGTCCAAACGCGATGTTTACATCGCGTGTGGCGACGTTCCGCCCTCCAAGCGACCACATACAAATTCTGCCGATGAGTTGCTCAAAGACTTTGACATCTCCCGCATAAAACAAGACACAGACAAGCTGCTGAACCAGCTCGATAGCATCAAAAAACCAGACAAGGACGAGTCCAAGTATATCAACAAGCTCTTATCCAAAGCGGACAGGGCAGAAACGGATGAAGTGGTTGCTGTTACCGAGACCCAGGGGCCGATGAAACACATTTATGACGACAAGGAGGCTACAGAGCGAACGTCAAAGAAGTACAGATCGTTCCATCCTAAAATCTACACCAAAAACGAGCTGTTGGAGGCCACCGAAAAACTGCTCACTGTGGCTAGGGATATTTTAAATGGGAAGACGGCCTCATATTTTTACGAGATTGCACGGGAATATGCAGAGTCTTCGCCTCGTTTGTTTGTGACAGATTCCGAAATAATAAACTTGCCGAAACAGAGGTACCACGGGTATATTGGGTGTATGCGCGCGGACGCGATAACGCAGCATTTGCTAAGCCAATTGGACCAGCTCCTGACAGATAAGAAGGCGAACAAGGTGCTGCAATTTTGGGGTCGGAGTTATTTCACGCGATTTGTGCTCACGCCAGAGATCATTGCACGTATCGTAAAACAGGACGAGCAGGTCGATCTGGACAAAGCGTACGACCTTATGGAATCCACCGCAGATTATGGGCTTTACATCATGGATCAGAAGGAAATTTGATAAGCTCCGGACTGTTGCATAAGCCGTTACGTCATGGCTGGTGGGAGGTGGCACGATCTGAAAATTTTTATCGTCGGCAATACCTCCAGTCTTATTAGACCTGTGAAGGAGTTTCGTGAGATGTCTGTGGTGTTCCCAAGAACGTGTTACAAGTGTGGACAGGTCGGTCATTTTGCCGACGCTTGTCAAGAGACCGAGCGGTTGTGCTACAACTGCAAGCAGCCAGGCCATGAGTCTGGAGAATGCCCGGAACCAAAACAGACCACGCAAAAGCAGTGCTACAACTGCAAGCAGACCGGTCATGTGCAGAGCGAGTGCTCCGAACCAGTGAGACCGGTTTCCAAGTGCTACAACTGTGGCAAAATCGGTCATTTGGCCAAAGGCTGTTCTGCTGCTAGGGGCGGGCCAAAGGTCACGTGCCACAAATGTGGTGGCCTGAACCACTTTGCTAGGGACTGTCAGTCCGGCGTGGTCAAGTGCTACGCCTGCGGAAAGACGGGTCACATCTCTAAAGAGTGCACCTCTGCCAGCGGCGGTTCCAACTTCAACACCAAAACCTGTTACAAATGTGGAGAGTCCGGCCACATTTCCAAGTTCTGCGAGATGGACTCGGAGTAAAGTATCTAGTGGTTATAAGTGGTTATAATTATAACGCAAGAAATCACAACCTTCTGTAAATGCTATCGGCTACCAGCGTGACATCTTTCATCGGCTCAAAGTCGTGAACGCGCACAATGTCTGCGCCGTTCGCAATGCATGCCGACACTGCTGCCGCAGTTCCGAAAGCCCGGTCTTTTGGTGGCTTGCCTGTGATCTTGCCAATAAACTGCTTACGTGAAGGCCCCATCAGCACGGCCATGTCGTCAAACGAGACGTACTCTCCACTTTCCAGCGACAATTGGCGGTAGTGTTTGAGTTTCTGCAGGTCTCTGATTAATTCCAGGCTCTGTTCCGCCTTCTTTGCAAACCCGAGCCCAGGATCGACAATCACCTGCCACCGCCGGACTCCAGCTTCCTGCAATTTTTCGAAAGCAATCCCAAGTTCTCGGCACACACCGCCCATGACAGCATTGTAATCGGAAAACTGCTTGATTCCCCCGGCCGCAACCTCGTCGTAGTTGGAAAGCGTGTTCATCGTCGCGATATTCCCGCGCGTGTGGCCCAGCACATAACCGACACCTGACTGCGCCACAGACTCGTACATTTTATCGTCAAAAAGCCCGCCACTCACATCGTTGATAATATCTGCGCCGAGTCGCACACTAGCGCGGGCAACTTCCGCTCTGTAGGTATCAACGCTCAACACGAGCTCTGGAAACTGTTTCCTGATCTGCTCCAGCACAGGAAGTACTCTGTCGAGCTCCTCAGCCTCAGAAACCTGCTCCGAGCCCGGCCGAGTTGAGCATCCGCCCAGATCGACAATGTCGACGCCAGCAGCCACCATCTGCTCCACACGGGAAATCGCATGCTCTATCTGCAGATTGGCGGCTGCGCCGTCGCTGAACGAGTCCGGCGTCACGTTCAAAATGCTCATCAGCAGCGTCCTGCTGCCATACGGCAACATCCGTGCACCAGACAGAGGAATTACTGGTTGCAGGTCGTCTGCTTTGGTCGTCTTGCGCAGCTGGTGCCAGTGGTTGTGGATCGGCTCCGCGGTCACTGGGTGTATCATGTCTGGCGGTACGAGCTGGCATAATGGCGCAAGCACAAACGGCCGCTCCAGCATGCTCATGTGAGGGATGATGAGGTTTGGCGAGTTGTAGATTGCCTCGTCGTAGAGAATAATGTCGAGGTCGATTGAACGTGGGCCATTGTCAAAATGTTTGACCCTGCCCAGCACCTGGTATTCTATTTCTTTGATCTGGTTCAGGAGGTCCTGAGGCTGCAATTCGGTTTCCACTTTAATAGAGCCATTGACGAAATCGGGTTGATTTGAATAGTACATTGGAGCAGAGCGGAAGAGCGACGACGTGGCCTTGACTTTTATGTTTCTCTTTGCCAGCTCGTCGAGAGCGATGTTGATGTTGGTCAGTTGTGAGCCCTGGTTCGAGCCAACAGCCAAGTACACGATATGTTTCCCGTCCCTGACGGTGGTTGCTTTGCTGAGATTAGGAACGTATTCCGACGACGGAAAGTCTACAAGTGGCTGAGACTCCATTTCGGCCCTCGATCTGGTCACAGAAACACCGACGCCATCGGTTTCGTCGATAGCCTTTGGTTTCAGCACAGACACTTTGCAACCAAAGGCACTTTCGGTTGTTTGGAACGCCAGCTTAGCCACGTTCAACACGAGCGCCTCGACGGTTTTGAATTGGGACTTGGAAACGTAGTTTTTTGTGCTTGACACAATCTTGTCGATAGAAAACTCGCCCGCCACTTCCAGTACAAGGTTCAGCACCACCGGCTGTTGTGCCAGTCTCTCCTCCTTAAACACTCCAATGATGGTGTTGACGCCGAGATTGTCCAGTTTGAGAGTGATCTTCGGCCCGCTTGACTTGTCCCGGCTCATTTCGACGATTACGTCGCAGTCCTGGTGATCCATATCAAATGTCAGTGTAGCACGCGTGCAATTAGTGCTGAAAAGCACTTCGTTGAAAATGCCTTCTCCAAGCTGCAGAAGCGACCGGAAGCTGCTACGGCTGTGTTTCTTCTCAAATGAACGGAGATCACGGCTCAAAACGGCATAGTTGATGGAGTACCGCAGATCGTCGTCAGTACTGGCCTGGCCGAAGTCTGTGGTCAGGTCCGTCGACAGGCTGAGCGGCGTCTGGAGCCCGTTGATGAGGCCGCAGTACCGTAGGTTTTTAATCGAGACGGTGTCACCGGTGGAAATTCGCCGCATAAACGGCAACCTCTGCGATCTCACCAGAGCACTGAACATTAATATTTTATTATTTTTTATGTCTTTTTTTTATTTTTTTATATTTCCCATGTCTCTTCGTTTCCTGTCAACTGCACGGACGCAATTGGCCGATATTGTGATTATTGGCGGTGGTCCCGCAGGACTCACGCTCGCAGCGGCTGTTAAAAATTCGCCCATCTTGTCGTCGCTCAATTGCAGGCTCGTGGAAGGAGGGAACCTTATCGGACCACTCAAGAGCTTTCACGAGCGCCCGCCCTCCAACTTCACCAACAGGGTTGTTTCGCTCACGCCTGCCACAATCTCCTATTTGTCAGACATTGGTGTCTGGAAACATATCAAAGAGGGCCGTGTCGAGAGCTACGACAACATTGTTGCATGGGACGGGGTCTCGGGAGCCCAGATCGACTTCGACGGCCCATCGCTGGCCACCATGTGTGAGACTCTCAATCTCCAGTCTGCATTGCTGGCACGGATTGAGGAATTGAACGAGGAAACGGCCATTATGGACAACACCAAGGTCGAGAACATCACAAGCGACGAGATTAATGGATGGCCTGTGTTGCAGCTGTCCAGCGGCGAGTCCCTCAAAGCACGGCTTCTTGTCGGTTGCGACGGCTACAACTCGCCAGTGCGGAAATTTGCGCAGATTGAGAGCCGTGGCTGGCCGTATAACCGGTGGGGTATAGTTGCTACTCTCAAATTTAAAGACGGTGAGTTCAGACACCCTACAGGGTGGCAGAGATTTTTGCCAAGCGGTCCTGTGGCGCTGCTGCCGCTCCCAGACAACTGGACAAGCTTGGTGTGGTCGACGACACCAGAATACGCCGACATTTTGCTGAAGCTGGACGATGACGCGTTTCTGGCCATGGTGAATGCTGCCGTGAAGCTGCCGGTCGAGGAGCTCGGGGTTTTGTACAAAATGGCTCACGAGGACCCTGAAAACCTTGTCGGCGAGATCACTTGGAGACTGAACGTTTTCAATGAAAAGTTGCGGCCACAAGAGACGGAGAAGTACCCCTTGGAGCTCGACACGATTGTGGCCAAGTCGCGCGCCAAGTTCCCGCTCAAAATGAGCCATGCAGATAACTACGTCGAGGAGCGTGTAGCGCTTGTTGGAGACGCCGCGCACACGACCCATCCGCTTGCCGGGCAGGGTCTGAACATGGGTCAGGCGGACGTGAAGAGTCTGGTGGCAGTGCTGGAAAAATCGATGGAACGCGGGCTAGACATTGGCACCAAATTGGCCCTAGAGCCGTATTTCAGCGAGCGGTACCCCGCCAACCACGTTCTTCTCGGCATCGTGGACAAGCTGCACAAGATATACTCTACAGACATTGCTCCTATTGTGATGGCGCGGTCATTCGGCGTGAACGTACTCAACAACGTGCCGTTTGTCAAAGACTACATGGTGAGCAAGATGGGCGAGAAGTGACTATATAAAATCGTCTCTGTTTCGTTTGCGTTTCGTGCTCTGCGAAAAGTCGACATGCACTTTTCTATCGTCAATAATTACACCTTCCATTTTCTTGTATGCCCGTTCAACAGCAGATTTGTTTGTGAACTCAATAAACCCGTAGCACAGCGAATGGCCGGTACGTCTGTCTCTAATGATTTCAACCGACGTTATTTCCCCAAAGCGCTGGAAAATCAGGCGGAGGTCGTCCTCTGCTGTGACCGGATTGAGCTTGCAAATAAATAGCACTTTCTCGCTAGGTTGGATTTTCGCTGACGGTAGATCGCCCAGCACTTCCAGCGTGAGGGCGTGCGACTCGGCCTTGATGTCTTCCAGTGCGCTTTGGTCCAGCAAGAGTCTGAAAGAGTCGATTTGTTTCTGCGTCGGGTACGGACTAGGAGGAGATTCGATAGGGAGTGAGAACGGGTCATCCAGAACAAAAGTGTGCAGAATCCGAATGTCCTTCAGCGGACGGCCGGTCTCGTCGAGCACGCAGTCGTTGATATACTCCAGCGTGGTAAAACCCTCACCGATGGTTCCAAAGACATGGCCGGAGATGTCCGTCACAGGGCCAAGGCAGATGGAGAATTGCGGGCTGAACTCGTTTCCTTTGGAAGTGAAGAACACCTGGCCAAGTTTTTCGGGGCTGAGATGAGATGACGGCGTATAATTCATGTCATTGTCTGGCTGCGGAGCAGAAAGGGGGTCTGGAAAGCACGGGTTTCCAGAGTCGACAGCGAAGTTTTTTCGCACGTTCACAAAAGGCGAGTAGTGGTAGAACTTGCTCAGGCAGAGCGCAATGAACGTTCTGGACTCGTTGGGAGCGCTGTCTACGAAAAGATCGATCACCAGATTGCCAGCATTGGTCTCCAAAAGTACGCTCATTAATAATGTTGTAAACTTTTAAAAATACACACCCAACACCGTGGTCGAAAATTACCGAGTCCCCACCACCTTCGGGACAGTCGAGCCAGACGCACGTTTTTGTAGTGTCTCGACGTGCAAGTTCTCTCAGGTCGTCTTGCTTGAGCAAGAAAGCAAGTTTCGGGGTTTGGGGGTGTTCTTCTGCTCGGCCAAACCAAGCTGCTCTTGACACATTCTTCACGCTGCCGACTGATTTGTCAGGCACCCCGAGCGGGCCAAGGATACACAACTATTCAAGCTTCACTGACCAATTGTATGGTACTTTTGACTGGTTTCTCTTCAAATTAAACCTGCATGCTACAGAAATCCACATATAGTATCATGTTCGCTACTCCGAAAAATTGCGCATGATAAATTCACCAGAACCGAAGGGTGCAATGAACACTTATTTAGTCGCCCCGTGTCACTCGTTGCGGTTGTCCACCAATCAGCATGCCTGGGGGACCATCAATCGTGCGTAGGAAGGCAAAGATGTGTTGCCGGATGTCTAAATATGCACCAAAAGCAGGGTCGATCGACCGTTGGGGATCTAATTTCGAGAATTGGCAAATGATAATAGCTCTCTTATTAATTCCCGATTAGGCATGCAGGAGCCTTCTGTATCAAAAATTCGGAGATTATTTAAGAAACTGAATTCGCCTAACATTTACCAGAGCAAAATGTCTACTGTCGGAAAAACAATCACATGTAAAGCCGCTGTTGCCTGGGAGGCAGGCAAGGACCTCACCATCGAAACCATCGAGGTTGCACCCCCAAAGGCCCATGAGGTCAGAGTCAAGATTGCCTACACCGGTGTGTGTCACACGGACGGATACACCTTATCAGGAAACGATCCAGAGGGCCAATTCCCCGTCATTTTCGGACACGAGGGTGCCGGCGTTGTCGAGTCGGTTGGTGAAGGCGTGACCAGTGTGAAAGTGGGAGATCACGTTGTTTGTTTGTACACTCCGGAATGCAGAGAGTGCAAGTTCTGCAAGTCGGGCAAAACCAACCTTTGTGGCAAAATCAGAGCAACCCAAGGCAAGGGTGTGATGCCGGACGGAACCTCGAGGTTCACTTGCAAGGGTAAGACTCTGTTGCATTACATGGGCTGCTCCACCTTCTCCCAGTACACTGTTTTGGCCGACATCTCTGTCGTGGCTGTTGATCCAAAGGCTCCTATGGACAGAACCTGTCTGTTGGGCTGTGGTATTACTACTGGTTACGGTGCCGCCATTAACACGGCCAAAATCTCCGAGGGTGACAACATTGGCGTGTTTGGTGCTGGATGTATTGGTCTATCTGTGATTCAGGGAGCCGTGAAGAAAAAGGCAGGCAAGATCATCGTGATCGACGTCAACGACGCCAAAAAGGACTGGGCTTTCAAGTTTGGTGCTACGGACTTTGTCAACCCTACCAAGCTCCCAGAAGGCCAGTCGATCGTGGACAAACTGATCGAGATGACCGACGGAGGTTGCGACTTCACTTTCGACTGTACTGGTAATGTTCAAGTGATGAGAAACGCTCTCGAGGCCTGCCATAAGGGATGGGGAGAGTCCATCATCATTGGTGTCGCGCCTGCCGGCAAGGAGATCTCTACTAGACCGTTCCAATTGGTCACCGGTAGAGTCTGGAGGGGATGTGCATTTGGAGGTATCAAGGGAAGAACCCAGATGCCTGATCTTGTGCAAGACTACATGGACGGCGAGATCAAGGTTGACGAGTTCATCACCCACAGACACCCATTGAATGATATAAACCAAGCTTTCCATGACATGCACAAGGGAGACTGCATCCGTGCTGTGGTTACTATGGATGAGTAATTTATAGATGAATGCAGATACGAGGAGATGATCAGTGCAAGGAGGTGATGTAGTGGTTGGAATGGAAGACAGCGGTAGAAATTCCAAGCTATCTGCGGTCAAGTCGTTTATCTCTACTTGTTGGAGCGTGGCATCACAACTACCATAATAAGCCGTTCTAGTATAGTGGTTAGTACTCTTGTTTGTGGCACAAGCGACCCAGGTTCGATTCCTGGGGACGGCATAATTTTTTCTAATGTGTTTTTTCCTTATGTATCACTAACAAAAACTCTTACATGAAACCTGTATCGTAGATAAATAGTATAACTTATATATAAAACTATTTCTTACCAAATTTAAATGCAGGCAATTTCCACTTGCGCACTCTCAACACGTAGTACATGGACAACATCGCAAACAGATTAAAGCCAATGTAAACGCAGAAAAAGCCGATGTTTCTCCATCTGTGGCTGTACTTCATTCCCACGGTATCCATCCATTGGTCACCGACTTTGTACATGCAGACACCGCAATTAGAGGTGGCATCTGGGTTTTCCACGTATCCGGAATAGTTCTCAAAGTACTGAGCGAGGTAACTTCCGCATGTCTCACCTTCAGGTGGATCAAGGTAATTAAGCTCTTTCTCTGCACAATGGACAGGTCTATCGTGCAGTAGAATTCCGACAAAGTTTTCAACCATGTAGGTGAATGGCGACACTCTCCACATAAAGTGCCAAAATCCTGGCATAAGATTTGGATTTTGCACCACACCACAGAAGGAAATGATGAAGTTGAACACCAAACCAATCAGCACGTTGGCAGAAGGCAGGTCTGGAGATGCGTAAACAACAGCCAATGCCAACGACACATAGTAGAGCTGGAAAAAGATAGACTGGCAAAACCACCACAGTCCGGCTCTTGACGCCTCGTTGTCAAGCTGGATAGGGAAATACCAGCAAATGAAGTAGATGGTACCAAAAATTATGGAGTATGGCAGCTCCACAAGGTATTGAGAAAGCAACAGACAGGACCAGTGGAAAGTGTTGGACTTCGACTCTCTGACCTCGAACAACTCTCTAGATTTGATGGCTCTCTCTTGGATCTGGTTAGTCAACGGTGCACAAACCACAATGGCCATGAAACATGCAAACATGAGGTTCTGCATACCAATCGAGGTATGTTTGACGTTCCAGAAAGAAAATCCAACGAGCAGACCGGCAAGAAGCATCAACATAAACTTGGACATCACATAGTCGATGTCTCTATAAAACTGTAACCATGTTCTCACCAGCACGTTCTTGAATTGCGTCGTGTAAGGAACAGCAAAACGAGATTGCAAGTGAGACTGGTCTGACGATTGCATGCCCTTGGTGTCGTTGATCAGTTTCTCCACATCAGCGCATGTCTTCTCGTACAGGCTGCTGTTTTTCCAAATCTCGTACCAGTCTTCGTCAATCACAGCGGTGGCACCAGCTCCAATAACTTCCAAAATGTACTCTGCAGGATTTTCGCTGGGACCGCATTTTCTGGCACCATTTGACTCAAAGTAGTCTAACAAAGTGCGCGAGTTAGGTCCAATGTCGCCAAAGTAAACGGTCTGGCCTCCTCTCTTCAAAAGAAGCAGACGGTCAAACTGTTCAAACAAAGTGGCCGAAGGCTGGTGAATGGTACACAGAATAGCCTGGCCAGCAGCAGCAAGCGACCTCAAGACTTGAACAATGGCCCACGAAGACTGGGAGTCCAGTCCGGAGGTAGGCTCATCCAGGAACAACAGCAACGAAGGCTTGGCAACCAGCTCGGTAGCAATCGACAGCTTCTTACGTTGCTCGACATTCAGGCCGTAACCAACCTCCCCAGCAATGGAATCGGCGTACTCTTCCATATTCAAGATATTTAAGATCTTGTCGACATAGGCAATTTTCTCTTCGTCTGGAACATCGGCTGGTCTTCTCAATCTGGCCGCAAAAATCAACGACTCACGAACAGTCAGCTCTGCGATATGAAGATCTTGTTGCTGGACATAACCAGTTCTTCTCTCAAATGAGTTGTCGATTGGCTTGCCATTGATCAACATGTCACCGTTGACGACACCAACATCGGTTCTTCTGGATAAAACATTAAGCAGTGTCGTCTTGCCTGCGCCGGACTCGCCCATCAACGCAGTCAGTGTACCAGGGAGGACGTACCCCTGCACATCCTCCAAAAGCTTACGGTCCTTTCCATCATAAGGAACGACGTAATTAACATTCCGCCACATGAAAATATCACTTGAACCAAGTTTTTCGCCTGTCGTATCTGCAGTAGAGTGTTGAGCCTCATCAATTTCGCTCTTAGTATCAGTATGAGAACCTCCTGCGCTCTCCTCGTCGCTCTTTGGACGTGCCTGGCCAGTAGCCTCCAAAAGAGAGTCTGGCAACTTAGCTCCTTTCACGAATAAGAGCTGGTCAGAACTTGGAACCATTGGATTGTATGCCTCGACAATGAGCATGTTTATGGCCAGGAAGCCAACGACAAATGCAATCAAAATTCCAAAGTTTCTCCAACAATGTGAGAAGGTGTACTGGAAGCTGTAGCTGAGGTAAATATCTCCCGAAACGTAGTCACCGGAACCATAAAGAGCCTTGGAAGCACTAGCTCCTGTAAACGCACACACCCTATTATCTGGGCTGATGTTCTCATAGCCAGGGCCTCTTGGAATGATCTGAGAAGGTGCACAAGGCATCTTGCGGCCCCTAAACTCCAAAGTGATGAGGGCTTCAAACCCGTACAAAATTGGATTTATGTACGAAAACCACTTGAACCACCAGTACATCGAAGGACGCTGAATCATATAGGAGCTGTACAGAATGGTGGACATCATGATGATACCCACAAATCCATTGGCCGCAGAAAGTGTTGGGGATAGAGAGGCAATCAGGATAAACAGACAATTCACCGCCAGAACAGCAACGTTGACGAACAGGATAAATGCAAAGAACGGACCGGCTTCTCTTTTCATGTTAGACAAGAAGTAGAGAATTAGCGAGAACACCACAATGGCAACAGCTCTCACAGGGGTCTGGGTGAGGAAACTCGAAACTAGATCAGCAGACGGGTGGAAGAATGAATATCCTCGCTGTTTGTTGGTGATTGGCTTGTTTTCAAAGAAGGCAGCAATTTCGGCCAAACTCATGATACAGAAATAGAGGAAAGCAAAGAAAATCACACCTCCTCTAGGGAACGAGCCAATGGTGGAAGATGGGGTATTATAATAAAGCGAGCCCACAATTAAAGCCTGGATCGTGGCAGCAATTATTAGAGTGGCCGTGTAAGCGCTGTTGTTGACAATGTTGTGAAATCCTCTCATGGTACACAGCTTGAGTTGCTCAAAGTAATTCACCACGTATTTGGATTTGGAACTTGTGAGTTTCTGCTTCTCAAGAGCGTGAACGGCATGGAAGTTATCATAAGTTGCAGCAGGGTTGTATGTGGCCTTTTTCTCAGTAATCTTTTTCATCAGAGCTTCAAACTCCGGAGAAGAGAGCCAGCGGGCCTCAAATTCTTCTGCGTTTCTTGGCGCCTTGTGTTCAAAGCCGGGAGCAACTTTTCTGGCAAGCGGATCGGTAACCGAAGTTAGGTATTCAGCACTGGTTTCTCTGGCACCCTTGACAAATCCAAGTCTCTGGAAGTAGTCAACTGCCTCCTTGATAGGACCAAAATAGATTTGTCTTCCGTAATACAAAACAGTGACGTTGTCGAACAATTGGTAGATGTTTTCGGAGGCCTGGTAGATAGTCACAATGGAAGTCGATTGGGTAATATTGGTCATGGTACGGAGAGATTCAACGAACTCCAAAGCAGTGGAGGCGTCCAAACCTCTAGTTGCGTTATCGAAACAGTAAACAGATGCACGAGTAGCCATGGCTTCAGCAATAGAGACACGCTTTCTCTGTCCTCCGGAAATACCTCTAACAAAATCGTTACCCACAAGCGTCTTTTCCACATGCTTCAAACCGTATAAGGTCAAATAAAGGTCCTTGATGGTTCTGATATACTCAGACCGAGATAGATTATCGATTCTGACCTTTGGGGTCTTGCATCCAATTGCAAAATTCATAGTCTGCTCCACAGTCAAATAAGGATAGTGGACATCCAGCTCTGGATTATAGATAACCTGGTTCTTGAAAGACTTCATCATATCCTTTTGGGAAATGCCATTATAAATAACCTCCCCTGAGGTACCAACATAAGTCTGAGTCTCCCCGGCAAGCGCCTTCAAAAGTGACGAACATCCACTTCCCGGCCTACCCAAAGCAAGCGTCATCGTGCCTGCTTCGCAGATTCCGTTGAATTTCTGGAGAATCTTTCTTGTTTTCTCAAGCTTGTTGAAATCTGCTTGCTGCTGCTTTTTGCTGGAAAACTTGTCGGCAAGCTTCAGAATAGGGCCAAAAAATATGTCGCCAGCAGTAGGCACAATAGAGACAGTGGTGTTCTTACCCACAACCTCCAGGTCCTCGAAAATGAGATCGGTAGTTCGGCCCCCAATGCCCTGTTCGTTGGACCTTCCCTTCATGTACTCGAGAATGCGCTTGAGGTCGAAGTCATTGGGGTCAATTTCAAGCTTTTCCATTTGTTTAGCGTTCATCCTTGACATTGTGCGCGACAAGGTGGACAAACGGGTCAAAACATCGCCCTGCTGCCCTTGTCCGGAGGACTGGTGAGTAATGGAACGGTGCAACTCAGCAATATCTCTCGCTTCGTCATCAATCTCAAAGGGTCTCACAGAATCGACGGTCTCGCCAGATGGGCCGCGCTCCATTTCGACAGACATGGAGAGTAGCAGACGAATGGTACAAAAAAATGGTCTAAAAGAAGTGTTATTTATTGCTTACGAGTTATGGACGTGCGCCAACCATGGAAGATGTGGATTATTAATTTCAACAATAAGGGTGCAGTCAATTTCTATCAAAAGTTCGGATATAATGCTCATTACTAATAATTGCCGAGACCCGAAGCGCTCCAGATTTGGCTTCCGGAATTAACACTTTAACCCGAGCGCTTTCTTGACCTGTATAGCGTTCCATGAGGAAGTCAGAGATCATTCCTGTTCTTGGTCCATCCAAGCTTCCGAGCCCGCTGTTCTTCTCTGAAACGTCTGCCTCTTCACTTTCGCCGTACTCGCCTACCGCCTTTGGATCTCCCATAGATGAGATAGCTATCAAATTTAGATACTCGAAATCCAGACTCAATCGCAAGTTTTCTAGACTTGTGTGCGCAGCATGTCTGCTGGCGATTACCCTGCTGATTCTGGCCCGCTTGCCAGCCCAGTACACCAACTGGACGTATCTGCATTCGCGTCTCCTGCTAGACGATTACGACTATGTGCGACTGGAATCGTTGCTGCCGGATATCAAAAAAAAATTGGATCTAGAATGCTCTTCGTTCCCAGCCCCTGACCACCCATTCGACCCTCGCTTGGTGGCTGCGCTGTGGCTGTCCAAGCTGCAAACACATTTCGAGTCTAAAACGCCAGACCTGGGCCGCTCGTTTGCGATTCCGTTCCACTGGCGCGACTGGGTCGACATGGACGATCGACTTCGACCGGCCCAGCCCTGGATGGTGGCAAACCGCGGCCGCAACCTCGACTGTAAAACGTTCAAGTCCCAAAATGGCCTCTGGCGGCTTCCGTGTGTGGACGCCAATGAGGCCCAGATGCTGTCGCTACCGTCTTACTACCCAACCATGAGAGTGGCTGCGCCGTACATTCCAAAAATAGCAGTTGACGCACGAATTGTTTACGGGGCATGCTATCTGCTCACCGCTGCGCCGCCACCTGAGAAAGTGGTGTTTATTCAGAAACACAATGCCGCCATTGTGCGCACCGAGCCGCACTCGCGTTCCGCCCTGGGCCAGCTAATCGCCGAATACACTATCCGGAAAATGACAAAGCAGGGTCTGGTCCAGCCGGACGTCCCATCGGGGATAGACTTAAAAGCCGAGGCAGAGCGGCTGTTCAGCTCATCTCACTGCAAGGCGGGCATAATGCAGTCGCGGGCCCTATGTGTCAGGACCGACCACACGGAGGGTGGCGAGCCTGTTCCTGTTCCCGAGGCCGAATTTCATTGGGTCGCTTCCGAAGACGAAATTCTCCAAAACCCACCCAAATACTTCTACGAGGCGGACACCTATGACAGCAAGATCAATGGCGCGCATTTCGACTGGCGCTTCTTCAACGCACGCAATCTCTCGTCGATCGAACGCAAAGCCGCTCTCCACAAGCTGGTAACCACCTGGCTCCGTTTCTCCAGCATCGCTGGTCTCCATACCTGGCTAGCCCACGGAACGCTGCTTGGCTACCAGTTCAACGGTCTCGTCCTCGATTGGGACTTCGACCTCGACGTCCAGGTCACCCAGGCCAGTCTGCTGCGTCTTGCACGTGACTACAACCAGACGCTTGTCGTGGACGTCGACGGCACGGGAAGCTATCTGCTGGACGTGAGTCCGTATTTTCATGACCGCAGTCGCGGTAATGGCAACAACGCCATTGACGCTCGGCTCATCGACACCGCCACCGGTCTTTACATCGATATAACGGGCTTGTCCAACACTCCTAGCCAGCTGCCACCAACAAGGAAAAAACGACTCGACGAGCTTCAGCGGCTCTACTTGCAAAATGAAATCGACTCCCGCAATTTCTCGCAGCTGTACAGCTGTCGCGACGAGCACTACTACACGCATGACGAGATTTCTCCGTTGAAACCTGTTTTATTTGAAGGCGCATTGGCGTACGTTCCGCACAACGTGGACCAAATCCTCCTCCGGGAGTATCCAAAGTACCTCACACGCATGACTTACAGCGACCACACGTTCAGGACCAGCCTGAACTTGTGGGTGTCGGACGAGGTGTGCGACAGAGAGGACGTCTTGGGGCTGAGTTGCAAGGACCCGATGACGCTGCTGGAAACAAAGCTCACGAAGCAGTACACCGCAAGCCACATGCTGCGCCAGGCCAGTCTGAGCAGCCGGTCGGACGAGCTCGAGGGTCTTCGCGTCGACAGCGCCATGGGGCCCATTATTGAGCACCGGCTCCACGCTCAGGTGTGAGGAGTAGCTTATGTAAGTAGCGTTTTGTCAGATTGAAAAATAACAGCTATAATATATGGAGATTAGCATTGGAAACGAGCTCAAGGACGCGTTCAAGCCGACAGAGCGGTGGGTAAAGGCTGGACTGGAGTGGATTGGCGACTTGGAGGCGTTCTACCACCAGCGGGCTGTCATTGAGGCCGAGTACGCCGACAAGCTAAAGAGCCTGTGTTCGGAAACGTTCAAGAAAAAGGCCAAGGTTTCTGCCGCGGTGAGCGTCGGGCCAGACCCACTGATCACTCCCGGATCTTTGGAAAGTGCTAGTTTGGTTGCATGGAATGAGATCATCTCGCAGACGGAGCAGCTGGCCAAGGAGCGCGGCGATCTGGCCAAGCAGTTCGACAAGCGGGTCGTGGCGACCTTCTCGGATATCCAAGCGCGCTACGACGCGATCCGGCAGAGATGGAAGCAGGCGGACGAGGACCTACAGACTGTGAGAAACAAGCATTTTGAAGAGGTCAACAAGGCGAAAAAAGAGTACGACAGTGCGTGTCAGGCGATGGAGAACCAGCGGTCGAAAACAGAGAAAACCAGCGGGGAGCGGGCACATCACAAGTACGAGAAGCGGGAATTTGAGATGAACGTGGCCAAAAACAACTATCTAATCAAAATCAACATTGCGAATCGGCTCAAGGACAAATATTACTATCAGGACTTGCCTGAGGTTCTGGACGGACTGCAGGCACTGAATGAGTCGCGGGTGAACCGTGTGAACGGCGTCTGGCTGACAGCGACGGCTTTGGAGCGGCAGAGCCTTGAAAACGGCCTCAAGTGTCTGGATAGCATGGAGCGCATGGTGAAACAGAACTTGCCAAAGCTGGACACAATGATGTTTGTGAAGCACAACATGGGCAATTGGACGGAGCCGGCGGACTTCTACTACGTTCCGTCGAACATCTGGCACGACGACGAGTCGATGATCACGACGAGCGGCGAGCTCGAGGTGCTGAAGCAAAAACTGAGCGAGAGCTCTCGTGTGTACGAGAGGTACGAGCGGATTTGTGCAGAGGAGAAGCAGCAGCTTGCGGAGATCGCGGAGGAGCGGCGGCGGCTGATGGAGGATGCGTTTTCGGAGGTGAAAGTCAAGTCGAAGGACGAATATTACAAGTACGAGATCTTATTGAGCAAAGGTCTGGCGGAGCTGCACAAGTTTGCGAACGACGACACGAACCGAGTCACGGCAGAAGTCGAGATCGAGACGATCCAGTCGGCGGCCGATGGCAAGGACTTGACGCTGACGAGGCCTGTCGAGAAGAAGAAGAAGCGCACGCTGGGATTTTTGCGCAAGAAGACCACCAATGAGCCCGAACTCGACGACGTTCAGTCTGTCACCAGCGGGGTGAGCAGGCTCACCACGACGACGCACGGCAGCACGAAGGGACGGCTGTTTGGCCAGATCGGCAGCCTTTTATCCGCTGGTAGCAGCACTGGGCCGTCTGCGAAGGCACTGTATGCGTACACGGCAGGCGACGCGGACGAGGCCTCCATTATGCCTGGTGACGAGCTGCAGGTGCTAGAGGAAGACACCGGCTCGGGATGGACGCGCGTGCAGACGCCTGCCGGCGAGACAGGTCTGGTTCCCACGACTTATATCCAGGTGTCGCATAGCAAGAAGCAGGGTCCCAAAGTGGCCCCGCGCAAGGGGGCGCGGCGCGTCAAGTATATGGAGATACTGTACGACTATGAGCCTCAGGGCGACGACGAGCTTGGCGTGGCCGTTGGCGACCGCGTGGCCGTGGTCACCGAGGACCCGGGCACCGGGTGGACAGAGGGCGAGATCGACGGTGTCAAGGGCCTGTTTCCAACGAGCTACGGCCGCCTCGTCGAGTGATCAGGCCGGCGGCAGGAACGTGGCAAATAGAGCTGTTTGTAGCAGCACCCAGAACAGCCAGAAGGCTGCTATTTTTCTATTTTCTGTAGCTGCCACAAACCAGAGGTGAGTTGGCAGGAACGTGATGACGCGGTTGATGATTTGGACATGCATGCAAGTAAGCTGGACGACGAGGTATACAAGCGACGTGAGCAGGATCGGGCGCAGTCTGCGCTGGTTTCGGAGGCGGTAGATTGCGGTTGCCAGGATCAGCAGGCTGGGTGCTGCGATGATGAAGAGCGGGATGTTTGCAACCGTGAAGTATGTCAGAAATCCATTACCCCAGTAGTGCGACTGCGCATATGAGACCAGTGAGGGCGCGGCCGAGAGGCACCATTCGCCTCTTTCGGGGCAAAACTCACGGTATGGGACGTAGATCGACAGACAGAGCGCAAAAAAAAGAGGAAGGCCAGAAACCAGCGATACCAGCGATTGTCCCGCAACCGTGTCGTACAAGTAGACGATGCCGTAAAGCAGACAGTTGGAGCGGAATCCAAATGCAATGGCTATTAGAATGCCGGAGAGAAAATATCTTGGCGATTTTCGACCGTAGCTGCGCAGAAGCAGAGCCGTGTAGCACAGAAGCTGTGTGATCGACTCTGCGTAGATGGTGGTGCTGAAGATCCCTGATGGCTGTATCACGGCGAGATACGCGCTGTTGCGGGCTGTTCGCTCGTCAAAGTAGCGTCTGGTGAGCTTGTAGAGTACCACACAGCTCAGATAATGGCTAACGTTCGAGACCAACAGGCCGCCCAGAAGCTTGTAGAAGATGTTCGCGGACGGGATCGACGCGAGCAGGCGCCACCATAGGGGGCCAAACACATACTCGTGTTCAAAAGTGGGTCCTTCGGTGGCCAATTTAAGGAAATAAATGGCGTCCCAAGCCACGAGCTTCGATGCCACGTTCGAGACAAACCATTTCAGACTTGCGGGCAGTTCAGCATAGTCCTCGGTGTAGTCATCCAGAAAGATGCGTGTGGAGGTATCGAACGGCGCGGGAGCAAAATAAACGATGAGCAATTGCGCCAGCTTGAGCAGCACAAACGGAACAATCATTGACTGAAAAGTAAATTAAATACGTAAATTATTTAAATAATATATTTAATATTATCACTTTATACAATGCTCTCCATTTCCTTGGCGTAGGTTAGAGCGTTTTTCAATATTTGTTTTTCGTCGTTGATCTCGTCTTCTATCGCAGAGCTGCGCTTGTCAAAGTGGACTTCGCCGTTGTCCACGAACCAGCCCATCTGGTCTATGTAAGATTTGACGTCGTCAAGGTTCTTCAAAAAAAGCAACAGTTTCAAGTTTTCCAGCGGCAGAGTAGTGTAGCTGGACTCGATGTTGGTGGCAATTGTAAGACGAATGGAGTCCAGCAGCTCTTTCTCAAACAAGTTGAATTCCTTGCATGGGAAGCTGTGTTTGGAGCTCAGAAGCTCGTACACTTTGTAGAAGTCGCCGTCGATGATCCATTTTTCGAACTTGATTGGAATGGCAAAATACTGATCTTTTTCCAGCTCGTCCACCGAGAGACCAAAGTTTGACAGCCGTTCGAGCTCGATGTGGAACAGGGCGAGGTCTCCCTGTGTGAGAAGCAGCAAGAGATACAAGCTGAGTAGCTTGTTTTTATTAGGCGAGTCTGGCAGGTTGGTGAGGTCGTAGAACGGCTTGAGCAGCGTGATGTAGCTGGAGAACCCGTTGAGGTCTTCCGAATTGATCGACGCCAGCGCGCCGATCTCCAAAATGGAACGAGTGATTGCTAGGTCGCTCGGGTTGGCGGCCGTCGTGAGCGACGGAACAAGCAGGTTCTGCTCTATAAGCAGCAGCTTAATTTGCGGAAGCAGCTTCAGGCACTCTGCGTACTTGTTTGCCACAAAGCTTTTGGATAATTGGGAGGTGAGTTGTTCCAACGACATTTGCCACAAATAAAATAAAGCCAAAAAAAATAACTAGTGTATGGGTGTCAAATTTATTATTCACCTGTATTCTACACACTATCCCGTGCCTATGTTCATTGCATTCAGTTCTTCACACCAAACTGATCCTCCACATTCTTAATGATGGTCTCAACAGACTGTGGGTTGGACAGTGTGCTCAGATCGCCCAGACCCTTGGCCTCTCCGGAACAAACCTTACGGAGCACTCTTCTCATGATCTTGCCAGACCGGGTCTTTGGCAGGTCTGGAACGACGATAATGCTTTTTGGAGCAGCAAACGGCCCAATTATGCTTCTGACGTGCACCACGAGCGATTTTCTGAGGGCAGTAAGCGCCTCTGCGTCGTCTGTCTCCGACTCGTTCTTCAGCTGCACAAATGCAATGACGGCCTGGCCAGTGATGTCGTCGTTGATTCCAACAACAGCGGCCTCGCTGACATGAGTGTTTTCCAGCAAAACCGACTCGATCTCGGAAGTGGACAGTCTGTGGCCCGAAACATTCACAACGTCGTCGACTCTTCCTCGGATCCAATAGTAGCCATCGTGGTCTCTTCCAGCACCGTCTCCCGTGAAGTAGAACCCAGGGTACGGCTTCAGATAGGTTTCCACGTACCGGTGGTGGTTTTTGTAGACGGTTCTTGCGAGAGACGGCCAGCTGGATCTGACGGCAAGCACTCCCTCGACATCATTTCCTTCCAGAACTTTTCCGGAAACAGGGTCGATGATGACGGCGTCCACGCCGAAGAACGGCAACGTGGCTGCACCCGGCTTGGTAGGAATAGCACCTGCCAGTGGTGCGATCAAGTGAGATCCCGATTCGGTCTGCCAGTACGTGTCAGAGATGTGACACAGACTCTTACCGATTTTCTGGTCGTACCACTCCCAGATCTCTGCCGCAATCGGCTCTCCGACAGAGCCCAAAGTCCGCAAAGATGAGAGGTCGTATTTCTCGATCTCTGCCTCGCCAGACTTCTTGAGAAGTCTCAGGGCAGTTGGTGCAACGTAGAAATGGGTAGCACGGTGTTTCTCGACAATCTTCCAGAAGCGGCCGTAGTCTGGGTAAGCTGGCGTTCCTTCAAAGACAATGGTGGCCGCGCCAATGGATAATGGCCCGTACAATGCGTACGAGTGGCCGGTGATCCAACCAACGTCTCCAGCAGTGAAAAGAACATCCTGCGACTGAACGTCAAAAACATACTTGGTGGTCAGGAGAGCGCCCAGCAGGAACCCGCCCGTGCAGTGGACAACACCCTTAGGAGCACCAGTGGATCCAGAAGTATACAACATGAACAAGGGGTCCTCAGAGTTCACCGGCACCGGAGGACAGTACTTTGGGAATTTGTCGCATTCTTCGTCCCAGAAGAAGTCTCTTCCCTCCTTCATTGGCACCTCGGAGCCCGTTCTTTTGTAAACAAGCACCTTTTCGACGGTTGGGCAATCTTTGAGCCCTTCGTCTACGATTTTCTTGGTGTTGATGATCTTGCCACCTCTTTTACCTTCGTCGCAAGTAATCACGGCCTTGCAGCCGGCGTCGCTGACTCTGTCTCTGATGGAGCCCGCGGAAAAGCCGGCAAAGATGACAGAATGAATCGCTCCGAGACGCACAACAGCTAACATCGCAATCAAGGCCTCGGGCGTCATTGGCAGGTAGATAGCCACCGTGTCGCCTTTCTTGATGCCCCAACTCTTCAAAACACCTGCAACCTGCGAGACCTGGTTCAGAAGCTCGCCATATGTGAGCTTGCGGCTCTGTTCCTCGTTGTCAGCCTCGAAAATAATGGCAGTCTTGTCTGGATTGGCAAAAGCGTGTCTATCAACACAGTTGTAGCACGCGTTCAGCTCTCCGCCCAAAAACCACGCGACATCGCCATTTGCAAGCGAGCCAGACTTGACAACTTTGAAATCCTTGTCCCAATCAAGATACTGCTTGGCCAGCGGCCCGAAAAACCCCTCCGGATCCTCGATCGACTGCTTGTACATGGCTTTGTACTCCTCCAAAGAAGACAGAGACCTGGCCGGCTGCTTGTCAAAAAAGGCCTGCGGAGTGGCCCGCGCTTTGACATTGTTGGCCTCGTGAACCACTGAATGAACCTGTTCTTGGGTCATGTTTGTAATTAAGGTATAGGTCAAACGAGAAAAATTGAACCCAAAGTGTCCCTCCGGAAAAAATCGACAATTGTTGGGGCCGCGAATTGGCAGAAATTTGCGATTGCCCGGGTTAAATACCAAGTCGCGGGTGTGACACAGGTCGGCAAAGAGGAATCACCCGGCATGTACGCGCAGATTTTTTGACATCATATCTCTGATTAGCAATTTGTGGGGCCTGATTCGGTAGCCCACCCGTAGGTGCCTGGCTCCATGCTCCCGGCATTATCCTAAACGATGGTACGACTTGTTGAGTCGGTGCAAGGATGTCGGCCTACCGGATTGGGATCGTGACGACCACGGCATCAGGCCTGCCAAATGTATTTTGAAGCTCGGCTGTTAACACCCAATGCGTTCGCTTCATCTCTTCGCATGCAAATCTAGCCCACCCACACCAATCTTGCAACTCCCAGATCTTAGAGAACAGTTACCCGGCCTTATGGCGGTGTAGGGGCGTGTCTTTAGAGGCCAGCCAGAACAAGAGATAAAAAAACTCTGTAGGTGCGAAACAAGGCAATACTTAATTGCCATTCGAGTGCACATCCTTCAAGTTCGAACCGGTTCCCTTGCACTGTGCGCATTTTGCAAATCTCGCCCACCATCCTGCAACCAAATACACAGGCGCAGTCAGCGACCGATTTTTGCTCTAAGCCCCCACTTGACTTAAGGTTCTAGTAAGGCTTTGTGTTATAATTAATTCAATTGACTGCCAAAATGTCTCAGAGGGATCCGAACACACCAGGCCAACGCATTGAACGGCCCTGGCTGGAACAGGAGCAGCACACTATGGAGTTACCCAAGGTTAGACAACATGCCGTGTCTCGATCTGGATCTATCAAGAAGGACAGAGATTATCTTCCGAACGCCGCCCCTGCGACTCCCAGAATGTTGCGAAGCACCAGTAATGCTGCTAATCTTGCAGATGATGCTCTGGACCCCTTTGCACAGACCAAAAATGTGGCTCGGAAACTCTCGTTGACAACACCGCAACAGCAAGGTATGCCTGGCGCAGAGGGTACAGAGCAGCAACCGAGGCTCATGCCAGGCATGGAGTTTAATCCGTCGCCGGCAACAGCAGCACCAAGCACACCGAAAAGACAGTCTTCCAAGGCCGGCTCGAGACACACGTCACAACAGCAACAACCGCAGTTCCACCGAAAATCTATTGGTGACTGGGATTTTGCCAAGACAATCGGTGCCGGATCCATGGGAAAGGTGAAACTTGCAAGACACAGAGTAACTAATGAGATCTGCGCTGTGAAAGTGGTGCCGAGGGCAGCAAAAATATGGCAGAGACAACATATGAATGATCCTCCCACTTCCGATCCAAATGAGTTGGCGAAACGACGCAAAGAATACGAAAAGGAACTGGCAAGAGATAGGAGAACGATCAAGGAAGGCGCGCTTGGTAGAATTATCTACCATCCTTATATTTGTCGACTCTATGAAATGTTTTCAATGACAAACCATTACTATATGCTTTTTGAGTACGTATCAGGTGGACAAATGCTAGACTACATTGTGTCGCACGGCTCAATCAAAGAGAGACAGGCCAGGAAGTTCTGCCGGGGCATTGCTTCGGCCTTGGATTATTGCCATTCCAACAACATTGTCCATAGAGATTTGAAGATCGAAAACATTATGATCAGCAAAAATGGAGATATAAAAATCATCGACTTTGGTCTTTCCAACATGTTTGACAGCCGCAACCTTCTGAAAACATATTGCGGCTCGCTTTACTTCGCAGCACCCGAACTCCTTTCTGCGCATCCATATATCGGCCCTGAAGTCGATGTGTGGTCCTTTGGAGTGGTTCTCTACGTTCTCGTCTGCGGCAAAGTTCCGTTTGACGACCAAAGTGTTAGTGCACTCCATGAGAAAATCAAACGTGGCAACGTTGAGTACCCAGACGGCCTTTCGAAGGAATGCGTATCTTTAATGTCTCGCATGCTAGTCGTTGATCCGACTAGAAGAG